ACAATCAGGAGCAGAAAAGGCCTGTCCCCTAATCCTAGACACTAGGACACTCAGGGTGCAGAATAATTAGCAGTCTCCAGCAATCAGTGTCTCCAGGGAGAACCAGGTAAGGACAGCAGTGCAGACACTCAATGATGGCATAGGTGAAAGTGGAGGCAAGTTTGCTGATTGTCTTAGGGAAATCCCAGAACCCACCTAAGGAGTGTAGGAGGAGGAAGAGAAGTATTATCTGAGTTTCTTCTCTTCCCAGTTTTGTCTCTGCAGTTGTCCATGTTTGTAATCACTCTTCATTATTCCACAGCCACGTCTAACAGGAAGACAGCCATATTCTTGCCCTTCCTTTCTTTCCTTGTTATCTGATATTAAGCATAGTTCTGCATACCACCTACCCCACGAAGGTTGTCCCAGCACCCAGGTGACCACCACCATGCCACAGAACTTCTGCAAGCAAGATTTCCGCAATGTTAGCTGAATCAAGAACTTAAAGTACGGAACTATGTGCTGCCTCTCCTTGGAGAGTATTTTCCTGACTGGTGTTCAGAGTTTTAGCCTGGACTCCCTAAAAGTCTCTGCTCTTTCTACTGGCCCCATCATAATCATCCCGCTCCCGAATGACCGTGTAACCTCTTTCCCCAGAATCCCAGTGCTCTGGTAAGCCACCTATCTTGCCCCCTGAGCTGACATTAGATACAGGTCCATACAATTGAATAGGGAATGTCAGAGAGATTCCTTCCTCTTCTGTGGCTCTATGGTCAGAGAGAATGCCTGGGCATCCTGAACCCCAAGTATTCTGTACCCTGGGCATGCTGACCCAGGCAAATGAGCTGAACTTGGAAAACTCCTATTAAAGTGACCATAAGTTGTGTATTTATCTTCAAAATATAGTCCAAAAGTGTTTAACAGTTTCAGACATGGAAGGGAAATGAAACATGATTCGTTAAAATTCTGGGAGGTGGAAGAGGATGTGGATCATTTAGGACACACGAATAGTTGAGCAGGGACAAGCTGGAGGAACACGAAGAATGAACATTAAGCAAGGCCTGACCAAGATGGGCTGTGTCAATCTTCTTGAGGAATTTGTCTTTCTACTGAGGGAAGCTGTGAGCCACTGAAGATCTCGATGGCAGGATGGGTGGGGGTAGTAGCCTGATGAGATTCCCATTCTGCACAGGTGCAGAGTGAGGTATGGATTGGAGGCTACCAAATGAAATCCGTGAGGCCTCCTTCATTATCTAGCTTCTGCCATCCAAGCTCAGCTCACAGGAGACCTTACCCTGCAGGGATCTGAAGGAGCCTTGCTCTCACTGGCTCTGTTGGAGTGACTTCCATCATTCAGAGGCACCCTGCTCAGTCTGCCCCAGGAGCACCAGGGACAGGGCTGGGGATCCTCCTACAAGGGTAGACCTCACAGATGATCTCCCTGGAGTGTTTTCAAATGTCATCCAATGCTGAGTGCCTGATGAGGGCACTCGGTAGTGTGGAGGTGGGTACAGAAATGCCCAGAGTGACAAGGTTTGCAGGAAATATTTTTTTTTAAACTACAAATTAAAAATCTTGCATGCATACCAGCCAGCAGGACAGTGGATGCAAGTTCAAGAATTTGTGTGTTGAGGGACCAAGGAGTAGCTGCCCATGGCAGCCTGTGAGTTTTCTTTCTTAGGTTCTGTGATCCGTTCTAGTGTCTTCTCAATCTATATTGAGGGCTTTGAATACAAGTTATATGCTGACAGTTCCTCCGTGTCTGTCTTGAACCTCAAAACTTGAACCTCAAAAACTCCACTAGGGTATTCACAGGTATCTTGGACTTAAGGTGCCCAAACCCTGCATCCCCCTAAGAGGTTTCTCCTTTATTCCTTTAGAATATACATGGAACTCCATCCTTTCAGTTGTTTAGACCTCATGTCTGAAGGCAGACTCCATCCCTCTCTCAAACCTCACATCCACTCCCCTGTCCAGTCTGCCTGGCTTTACCTTCAGTCTATGCCCAGAATCTGGCCACTGCCCACCCCAGCTTGCTGCCATCTTGTCCCATCTGGTTCACTGCCTCCAAATTGCTGTCCTTACTTCCTTGCTTGCCCTCCCAGGGCACAGCAGCCAGAGTGATCCCTTAAAACTTGGGTTACATTAGAGTTGGCTTTCCATCTCACTTGAAGAAAAAGGAAAAATTATAACAAGGCTCTGAAGATCCTGTGCACCCTCTCTCACCAATGCCTCTGACTTACCTCCTACCTCTTTATTTTCTGCCCCGCCCCATCATTTGCTCTCTTCTCCACCACCCTGGCCTCCTTGCCTTTCCTCAAAGATGCGACCCTTCAGGATCTTCTGCATTAGCTGTTCCCCTGTCTTCCTTCAGATATTTGCAAGGTTCACTTCTTTCAGGTGGCTACTCAATGTCATATTTCAGAGGACTACTCTTACCTGCCTTATAAAATAATAACACTCCCAAATTCCTTAATTCCTGGATCTGTAGTTATAGCACTCCCTATTTCCTGATTTAGCCATGGCAGGTTAAATAATGCCATGGTAACAAACCCCCAAATTAAGTGGTTTAAAATGTAAGGGTTACCCAGCTTTTACCTGATTCAGAGAGCCAATCATTAAATTTTCAGGATGATTGTGAGCCAGTTATTATACACAGCCACTTTTACAAGTCAAATTATATAAACTTACAATTAGCTATGTACCCCTTAATTATTTCATTACATTTTACCCTTGTTAAAATAATGATATTTTTATTACATATTACTGTGATCTACGCCCTTGAAGGCATTTATGTCCACTGTGTTTGCATGGTGGGAATACTGTATAATGACATATTACTGTGTGTCTCTACCTAACTCTTCACTTGGGGGGGGGGTGCCAGATTGGAGTCAGCCATCTTGCAAATATTTCTACACTGCTGAAATTGATCACAGCTACAAATCAGGGTTTGATTGATTTATCTACGATGTATTTATTTTAGTGCTTAAGAAAGTGATGGGGTAAATATTTATGATGCTGATTAAATTACAATGTGAGCAGCGTGCATACACACACACACACACACACACACACACACACACACACACACACATGAGACAGTACTCTTGTAGCATTCAGCAATTTACACCAGATTCAAAACTTCAGTTGATTCAAAACAGTCAAGTTCTGACATAGATCTTCATTATTTCAACTGAATGTATCAACCAACATTCAGATTGGAACTACACTATTTGTGAGCTAGAACTATAGGCTGACTATGGACACAAGACCTCAGCAAAAATGTACCAAAACATTCTGTGAATATCAATGGGGGGATATGCAATTTCAACAGAGTACTGTGCATTTTACTACTTGAAAATTGCATCTTTTATTATCAATAAAGTTTGTGCTGCCCCCTTTCTCCCTTGGAGAGCCTGCCGTCAAACATTTACCAACCCACCACTCAAAAACTCTGGATTTATCATTCACGTACACTTCATGTCCACCATGTGTCTTCTGTCCACGTCCCTTCCTTTGGGCTCAGGATATGGCACTCAGCATTGCTGATTGTTGTGTCGGTGAGGAGAGGGTCATAACAAAGGTTCTATCTGGAAGTAACTCACATCACTTCTGCTCATTAAGTCACATAGTCATGCCTGCCTTTAAATGAGTAGAGAAGTGCAATTCTAAAATTATGTGCCTGGATGGAGGAAAAGGAGAGCAGGAGTATTTGTGAACAGTCCTAATGACTACCACAACATGTTAGGTGTCTGTGTATTTATCATCTGCCTCACTCCTGTGTTTAAATGTAGCTTCCACCAGAGAGCTGTTTTGCTCACTGCTGAATCCCAAGCACTTCACAGATGCTTAATACATACTGAGTTGATCAGGGAGGAAACTAACCTGGAGGAGGAAAGTTCTGGAAGCAAGCCCTCATGGATGCAAGGATGGAGAGGTCATCATTTCATGTTTTGTCCAACTTTTGATAAGCAATGGTTTTGTTTCTCACTACCCCTCACACCCTGATATATGCACCTGGAACTTGGTGGCAAAGGAAATCCCATAGATGCAGGTAGCTCTGTGTCATCAGAATAGGGAAGAGAGGCACCTGGGACATAAGATGAAGGAGGCATCATTCTCGGATTCATGTACATGCAAAGTCAGTCCTGAGAGTGGGCACCTGTTTACATTTTGGCGCCCTGGGAGCCTTGCCAGTCCTGGCTCCTCAGTGAGGTCACCTCCAGGAAATCCCAACTCCATCACTTAATAAATAGAATTCTAACTACAGTGATTGCTTCTTCCAAAAACAGCCAGACAACAGCATATATAGAATGATGCGCCCACACAGTTTTCTTCCCTCTTTGTTTAGTTCAGAGACTTTGATAAACTCTAGGGGCTGAGTTATGGGTCTAAACGCTGATGGGCACAGCAAAGCAATAGGAGGGAGGGAGGGCTTATTCTAGAATACATCTCCTGCATCTGCTTCACTGTTGTGATCTCAAAGCTCAGGTATGGGTTTGATGATATCACATGCCTGGGATACCAACAGTACATACTCCCATTTACTGAGTAGCTGCTATGAGCCAAGAAAGCACTACCCTAGGCCTTTGTAATATTGTCTTGTCTATCAACCAGTCCCTAACCAAGTCTGTTCTCTAGGCACTTCCTGTCTACTAAAGAGAAAATGGAGTCTCAGAGAAATTAGGTAATTCTTCCAAGTTCAATCAGGAAGTGGTAGAACCATGATTTAAACACTTCTTTCTGAATCTAATGTCTGGCCCTTCTAAACCAGGAGTCCTCTATTCACCTGTGAGAAAAACAAAACAAAGCACCATCATTCAGGCAACATAAGCTCAACACATTGGGGTGAACTTGACCTTGCTCACAGGGCTCCAAACAGAAAACAAAACAAAACAAAAAAACAACAAAAACAACCAAAGCCACCCCCCTGCACTGACATGTCTACATTTGACTTATAGAAACTCTCATTTTGTCAAAAGAAAGCTCAGTTAGACCATAACTGCTTTTTTTTCTTTCAATTTTTATTGAACACAAGTATTCTGACAGAATGCAAAGTCAAAATTCTCAGTTAGTACTCAGTATTTACACCAGTGAGAATGGAAACAAAGGTGGTGCTGATGTTTCACTTGGTAAAAAGTTTTATAACAAGAGAGAAGGCCCCCGAAGTACAGAATGCTGGGTAGGGATGTTAATGGAGGTTTGAAAACCGCCATCCAGACAGACAGCCTAGGATGAAAACCTGGGATGTGGGAGGTTCCATAGAAAAGTGTGAAAATAGAGTTCCACGTCAAAAGCTGCTCTATATACACCGCGGCCCTTCAGGATTGGAGACCTGTTCGTGGCACCTGAGTGCCTCCCGCAGAACTTGGCCAAGCCGGTCTTCATGTGAATACATATGTATGGCACATACACATATAGACACATCGACACGGAAACTGGTGGAGTTGATCCCTCCTTCCAAAAATTAAAAAAGCAAAATTATATAAGCTTTTATCTCTTAACATAAAAGATAGAAGATCTTGAAAATAAAGTGACTCCCTCTTTGATTTTAGAGGAAGCATTGCTCTTTAAAAATAAAAAAGAAAAGAAAAAGATAAGGAAGGCTCACGCATGCGGAGACAAACATATGTGTAAAAGCAAGAGCGGCAGACGGAAGTGTGGGCAGTCTTGGGTTCCAGCTCGTGGTGGGCCAGGGTTCTGGGGGGGGGGTCAGCTGCCCTGGGCCAGGTTATCTGAGGGCTGACTGTACTTCTGTCTCTTCCTCACCAACAGAACCAAATTAGTTTGCCTAACCACACCCACTTAGAGTGAAATACATGGTGTCTCCGGGTCTCCAGGAAGTATCACATGGCCTGGACCTAGGAGGTCAAGGCATTTAAATCACAAGATAAGGAATTGATTCTACTGAACAGCCTGGAGACCTAAGAGCTGGCCCTTCCCCACCAGGCCCTCCCTGCCTCAGGCGCCCACTTCTCCCATTCTGCCCAGTGCACGCTAAGAGCTGTCTTCATGCTACTTGGTCCTGAGGGCCTGTGCATTTGAACTCTAGATCTGTGCAGACCCTAGAATCAAAGGGGCCAGGACTGTGTATTCTGGGATCCTCCATTTCCATCCCCAGGAGCTGAGAAAATGCAAAATAACCCCACATTTAGCAAATGACAAGACCATTATTTTTCACAGTTTGAAATTATAATCTAGCATTGCCACTGATCAGACTGCAGAAGTGTCAGAACCTTGGGGGGGAGTGGCCCACAGAGCGGACGCAGAGGCAGCCTTGCCACCCCGGGCCTCACGCTGCTTGTACCTTGGGAAAGGAACGCATGCCGGAAGAGGACCAATTTCTGTTGACTTAGCGTCCTCTTCATGACCATCATCATCATCATCTTTATTTTATTTTCTTTGTTTAAAGGCTTCGATTCCTTTTAAGAGTTATTTTTTGTTTCCTGAATGTTTTTCTGAACTATCTGCTATACCTTCCACAACCAAACTATGTTGAAGTTTTATTTCAATACTATGACAAAAACACGTTTCACACTAAAATATTCACGCATCCACAGTGCACAAGCTTGCAGTTCTAAAGTAGAATGAGAAACAAAAGCAAAATTTCTATACAAAGGGCTGGCTTTTCCCTTCTCCCCCCTCCCATCCCCCTTAAAGTTTCTGTATTTTTCCCCCACTTGGTTTCCAATCCAGGAAAGTTGTGTTATGACTCCAGACAGTAGTTTTTTTTTTTCTTTGTTTCTACAAATGCTGCCTAAAATGAACAGAAGGCCGATGTTACTTGACTTCAACAGATTTCCAAAAAAAGACACTAATTCCCTGAAGCACACATGCTCTTCCGCTCAAATCTAGATTCTGGGCTCAAAAGGAAATGGGATGTATATATTTTATTTGGCTTTCTACAAAAAGGGGATGTTTGGGGTATAAATGTGTGTTCACCAAGACCAGCCCCAACTATACAATCTTCTCTGCTTCATTCAACAAAGCCTAAGGAGTCCTTCAAAAGGAAGGGCGAGAACGCCTGGGAGGCAGATCCTTTGTCACAGATACAGGCAGGTGGCAGCTAATCAGAAAGTGGTCTAACCCCCAAAGAAAACACAAAAAGAACTGAAAATAGAAAGGCAAAACCATTCCAATGAGATGGATTTTCACCTGAGCTGAACACAGGCAAAAACTGCAAATCAGAAAAGGGGGTAGAACCACTGTAAACAATCATCTTTTGTAAAGTCACCCTGTGCTAAAGCAAGCCCACGAGGATCCTACCTACCTCTAGGCGGTATTTGTTACTCTAAAAAAAGAAGAGAAAAACAAAAACAACAACAACAACAACAAAAAAGCAGCTATTTTACATGGACATTTAAACACAACTGAAGTCAAACATTTGTCAACCTGTAAACACTGGAAAACAAAGTTGGCAGAAAGGAAGGGAGGAAACCAACACAAACAACAAAACAACAGCCAAAGGAAAAGAAAGCAAAAGAAGTCCGAATACTGCAAATTGAGATCTACCCCCAGAAGCTGCAATTTGGCATTCTTCCTACAAAACAAGAGTCTACGTGGGAACTGAATTCAGCTAGAAAGGTGACACACTTTGCATACTGAACAAATACAAAGTGAACAGAAATGATAACTTATTTATGAGGTTTTACAGAGTTCAAACTCGACTGAAAGTATAAAAATAAACTGTGGACTTTGTTCATTCGGTTAGTCTTAGTGCCTGAAAGTATTTCTCTGAAACTGGTCTGTGCCAATCGGTAACACCAAGTGTGGTCTTTCTGAACCTAGATTTTTTTTTATTTCCCTTAGCTTCCTAGATTCTTAATTTGGGGTCCTTTTGTTTGATTTTTAAATGGTTTCAGGGAACGGAGTGTCCTAGTTTGGCTGTGGGTTTAACCTTTTTGTCTCATTTTCTTACAAGTGAGTGTGCAACAAAGGAGCCCTTTCTATAAACCTACAAAAAGGAGATCCCATGTTTATCTGTTTAGTTTTTTTTTTTTTTAAAGGCAAAAGACACTAGAGGAATGAGACTGTGTGTGTGTGTGTGTGTGTGTGTGTGCGCGCGTGTGTGCGTGTGTGGTATTGGAAATGCTCTGGTGAAGCTGCTGTGTCACTTTTTATTTTGATTTCTGCTCGTTGCTCATCACCCATCATGCTTTGCTCTCATTCTCCTTTGTTTGTGTGGCGTCGTTGGGGACCGTCTTGACTTCGGCTGGCGCTGGCTTTGTTTCTGACTCCTGGGACTCCGACTTTGCTTCTACAGGGCCCTTCCTGCAGAGAATCAGGAAAACAGCAAGGCTGAGACCCTGGTTTGCAGACATCTCCCCCCTTCTGCCAGGCCCTGGTTGGTGGGGGGCAGTTCTAGCCCTTGTCTCCAACCCTGGAGGCAGGTTGAAATGACTTGGGAGCTCTAAGAATCACTGATGCCTGGGCCGTGTCCCCGAAAATCCTGGACACAGTGATTTCTGAAAGTTCCCCAGGTGATTCTAATGTGCAGCCTAAGCTCAGAAGCCCAAGTCCTTCCTGCTAGAGCAGCCTACCTTGATGTTGGGGCTTTTTGACCTGGGGCAGGGGAAGAGGGTGGTTAAGGCAGCCTCTTCTTCACCTTGACAAGCTGCTTAGAGCCCCTCAGCTTGCTCTAAGTAATGTGTGCTGCACTGGGTTCCCAATACTGGTTCCAGGTCCTCCTCTGCCCCCCACCCACCTCCGACACCACCTCTTTGGCTTCTCCCTCCCCTCCCCCCACTCCGTGCTGTTTAAGGATGATACCTGTATGGTGACCTGGGTTGGGTGAGAAAATACTGTTACAGAGGCATTTTGGTATTCGGGAGTTCCTAGTCTTCCCAGATACTCTAAGGGCAGCAGTGAATGGTGGTGGGGGGTGGGCAGCTCAGCCAGTGTGTGATGAAGCTGCTGACAGCATTCTCCCTGTGCATCAGCCTGGGGGGGCTACTTTCTTCTTTTTGCATAATGGTGCCTTTCAGAGGGGGGGACTTAGCCTGGTTCTGGGTGTCACTGACTGGGCCCCGGGGTGGCAGATAAGGGCACCTTGGCCTCCTAGCACCTTCCCAAGCTGTGCTCATCAGTGGCCCACTGCAAAGCACCCCCAGGGAAAACAGAAGCACTGCTAGGATGATAAGGATAAAACATAATTAACATGGCCTAATTAGAGAGCAGGAAGCTGCTCCGTTCAGGGAGCCCTGCTGCCTGCCCCTGTTACTGCCTCATCCCAGCCCCTTGGTTGACAGTTGGCTGCGAGAAGCCCTGGGTGAGGCTGAGGACACATCTAACAAGGAGGACACAGCACAGCACAAACGCACACCACCACAGGACACAACCTGACGACAGCAGACAGAGAGAGGCCGTACTCGGTCTTTGCTGGTGCAGGCGAAACAGAGCTGTCTGCAGTGGAAGGAGCAAGCTCAGGGGCTTGTCCACTGGCCCCAGCGGCGGGAGCAGGAGAGCCCAGGGCTGCAAAAACATCCTTTGCAAGGTCAATATCTGGGGTCTTGAAGTTCCCTTCGTCCATTTTAAAGTCCTCGCCCTGGGAAGGGTTTGTGGCGCTGACGGAGGCAGCCTCGCTCTTCGGGCTAGCGGGGGCTGTGGCTGCCTCAGATGGGCTCTTCGCAGCGCCGGGCTGGGTGGGCTCCGGGTCCGGGCCTTTGGTGCTGGGAGCCTCCTGCTTGGCCTGGGGGGCTTCTGTGGCAGGGGCGGCGGCTGCTGCTAGGGGACTGGCTTTGCTGGCCGCAGGGGCCTTGGAGGCCTCCCCCACACTGGCTGGGGTGCTTGGGCTGAGGACAGCTCCTTGATTGGCCAGGACACTAGAAGACAAATTGCTGGCAGGAGCTGAGGTCGGGGTATCACTCAGGTCAACAAGGGGCGCAACCTTAGGGGCTGAAGCTGGGGGCGGGGAGGAGGCAGCAACGCTGGGCCCCTTGGAAGGGGTGGCCTGCCCAGCGGGCACAGAATTTGAGTCCGGCGCGGCCGTGGCCGGCGGGGCAATACTGGAGGTCAGGGTGGTGGTCTCACTGGTGGGGCTGTTCTGAGCAGTGGCAAAGGTTTCGGTGATAGTGTCAGAGTTAGTGGTGACAGTGGTGACAGAAGGCAGCATGTCCTCGACAGTGGCTGTGGTGTCGGCAGGCAGCCTGTGGGAAGGACAGAAAGTAGAAGAGAATAGACAATGAAGCTGAGACGTGACAGAGAAGCTGGGCAGGAGGGCTGAAGCCAAGGAGAGGGGCCATGGGTAGGCATGCAGTCACGCACGGGCAGGAACAAAGGCCCACAGAGAAACGAGCACGCTGAGAGGAAGTACAGCCCAGGCGGGCATCAGAGGACACAGGAGACGACAAAGAACATGGCAGTCTCAAAGGGACCTGCTAGCCTTTCCTCCCTGCTGATGGCCCTCCAGCTCTCTGCGCAGGGCTCCGGTCACCTACAGACCTGTCTGGGCCTTTCTCATGTCTGCCCTAGATTTCCACTTCAGGAGAGGCAGCTTCAGTGCAGTGTCTCCCTGCTATCGGCTTCCAGGGCCCCAGAGCACCATGGCCCCGCTATCCTGCAGGGCTTCCCAGTCAGGAATAAGCAGATGACAAGTGTTCCAATGGCTCCTAAGAGCCATGGGTTCTTCCAGCCATGGATTTTATGGACCTGTGAAACTCTGTTCCCTTAAACCCTTAAGATGGTGGATAGGCAGGCAGGTGGGCAGGCAGGCACAGCTGATCAGGGCCTCTGGAGGATCCTGAGGCTTCGGAGTGGACGAGGGCCAGGAAACTTTACCAGGTAGGTCCCCAACTTCTATGGCACAAGGGGTTCTGTAAGGGCACCTAGACACCCCAAATAGAACCAAGAATGCCCTCTGATGAAAGTGGGAGGGACCAGGCATTTCCTAGCCAAGTAGGTCTTCTGGCCAAGGGCTTCAAAACCTTGGCCTGCCATGTTGGGCTGGGAACTGAGTGGGAAGCATGGCAAGTGGGGGTAGGGTGGCGAGGTGGGTTGTGCACTCTACTTAGGAGGTGTCAGCCCCTCTCTGCCCACATACTCGGGCTCTGTCAGCGGCGTGGTCTCGTTGGGTTCTGTGTGTTTCCCTCCGTCATGGTTTGGGGTCCGTTCCTCCTCAGTTCGAACCTCCACGATGGGCTCCTTAGATTCATCTTTCCTGTGGACAGAGTTCAGCTGGTGAGATCAGGGGCCATTGTGGGTATGCCCAAGGAAAGCAGCTATGACTCAGGGTACCTAGGCCTACCTAGTCCAAGCTGGCCAGGTGGGTATCTAGAGCCAGATACAAGCATCTGTGTCTCAGCCTGACCCTTGATAGCTGTGGGACCTTCAGTATCTGATGTAATCACCCAGTAACTTGGGGCAAATAATCGCATGTACCTCATCTAGTTATGAAAATTAAATGTGATAATGCATGTGATGTGTTTAGCACATCTTGTAGATAAGTGCTCAAATAGACACACATATACACATATGGATACACTTGTAAGTAGGTGTACATGTGTACACATGTATATGGTGCCTGGCATGAAATGGGATTAAAGAAATTATTTTCTTGCTCCATCCTTTCTTAGCCTGCCCAAGCCATGCCCCACTGGGTGACCATCTTCAAATGTTCTCGATAACTGGCTCAGTATCTGTTTCTGCACAGATGCTGTTGGAGGAACACTATCTGGATCATCAGCTAAATGAGGATAGAAATTTTATCTGTTTCATACCCTATTGTAACCTAGAGCCTGGGAACAGTGCCTTGAACTAGCTGCTTGATAAATATTTGCTTAGTGATGAATGAATGAATGAATGGGAGCAAGGTAAGTGTGTCCCCAGGTGCTGATCCCTCTGCCATAGCTCCTTTCCAGGACTTTTGCTCTGACAAGGCCCCTGCTTGGAGTATCTCAGGGATTTCCTAACTTTCATGAGATTCTAATATGCTGGATGTGGGTTGGGCCCAAGAGTCTGCTTTTCAAAAAGATGGCCCCCAAGCCTGACCCAAGTATTTTTGCCCCCCAGCGTTTCCAAGTGGAGAAGGTGAAGCTGAGGGATAGGTCACTACAGGGATCAGCGGATGGCTTGGGGGTGGCACCACTGCTGGGCTCCTGGGCTAGGGCAGATCCCAGACCTTGGCAGGGTGGCAGGTCTGCACTCACGAGAAGGCCGCCTTGCCCTCCTCCATGTCCTTGCCCTTGGCTCCAGGCCCAGCTTTTCCACACAGATTGACGGCGATGCACATAAGCAGGCCACACTTGTTCAGGAAGTAGCAGGTGATGTCCACGACCACCAGGAGCAGCACGAAGATGACAATGAGGATGCCCACGATGGCCCCTGTGCTCAGTCCTGAGGTGGGGCTGCCATTGGCTTAAGTGGGAGAAAGACGGCCGGTGGTTAACAGACTGAGATGGAGCCCGTTGACCCTACAAGCAACAGCCCCTGGGGGTCAGGTAGGGCTTAGAGTTCAAAGCCTTGGCATTCACGCCCAGAGTGACTCCTTCCTTGGGGCCCTTCTATACCCTGGTATTGAGGCAACAGGCTGTCTCTGTCTTCCAGAGGGAGGGATGATAGCTCCATCTTATCAAGGGGACAGGAGCGTGGAGCTCCTTCAAGTCAAGATGAGAGCGGGGCCTGAAGATGAATCTCCAATCCAGCCCTTGACTTCTGAGCCTCCCCTGTATTCATTCACAGCTGGCCTCCTGGTGAGTCCTGGGAGCAGACAGAGCCCAGCCCGGCAGTGTCTGAGGAGTCTGGATAAAGACATGGTGGAGGGCACTACTGTGTGTCCCCTCTGGACCAGGGTAAAAGGCTTTGCACTGTAGGCAGAGAGTGACTGCTGGTTTCAGGATGGGCTGTGGCTCTGGGAATAGTGAGGGTCAGGGTTCCCTGGGCTTCTATGGGGCTGGTGAAGGGGGTGGTTCAGGCCCAATGGCATGTAGATACACTCCCTCCCCACTTTAGGAATAACTCCAAAGAGCCCAACACTGTAGTACACTGGGCTCATGGTTCACCCTCTTGTTCTGTATCCCAGAAGGACAAATGGAGCTCATGTGACTCTGGAGGCATGGAGGACTCCCCAGGCCTGTTTTTTTTTTTTTTTTTTTTAAGTGAAGGGTCTGGGAATACTCACCATCTGGGAGCCTGGCATGCTTGGATCAGACTTCAGGAAAATCAGCAGGCTCACCCAGAGCTGCACACTCACACACCCAGGCACGCTCACATGCAGGACAGACACCCACAGATGGACACATTCTCACATCCCAGCAGCACCTGGACCCTGGTTCCATTTCTGGCTGGACTCACTCTGAAAGACTCAGCCCCTCTGTCTAGCTCCCTGGTGTTCGTCTACGGTCCCCTGGGCCCATTGATGCTATCACAAAAGCCCCCATACTCTGTTCCTTGCATGGCCGTGACTGATGTTAGTTGCTTTGGATGGAACTACTGACCTCTTGGTGGTTCCGGTCAGTGTCTGGGAGGCAATGGGGATGTGGGAAGCAAGAACTCACACAGAGCTCTGCCTATAAGTCAGTGTAGAAATAATGACCCTAAACTGAAATATGGGCACTCCTGATTCATTTTTATTAGGTGTCAGGTTAGGCACAGTAGCCTGCCAGTCATATACCATGCCAATTAATGGGATGATATGTAACCCGTAGATGGGCCCCAATCTTCTTTTCTCATGCAGCCTGTGTTCTGGGAGGAATTATTCTGTCTGTTCTACGGGTCCTTACCCAGGCGCTGAAGTGCTTCCCCAACAGCAGTGCCACTCTGCTACCAGCCCAGCATGCCAGAGGACCACTCACAACCTATTCTAGGTATAATACATGGGACCTGAGCTGAAGGAGAATCTCTAGCTTGCAAATGTTTTTGGCCCCCTTGGGACATTGGCTTGCTTCCCAGGCTTTCCTCCTTGGCTCTCTGGCTGATCCCTTCCAACACTGCTCTGAGGATTTCATCCCATCTCCCAGGAAGGCCCAAGACTAGCAAGATTCTGGCTACCTATGTCTGGGCTTTGGCAGCAGGAAATTAGCTGCTGGCCCCAGCTGTCAGCTAGAGTGGGTCATTTTCTCAGCAGTCAGCTAATGCAGAGGCACTTCTGATGGGTTGAATGAGAACAAAACCATCTCTCTACTTCCCCATCCATCTACATTCTACCACCAAAGCAAAGAAAGATGCAGGCCTTCCTGTTCTTTAGCATCCCAAGCTGTTGGGGAAGTCACTATAGCCAGGAGTTTTCTCTATTCCATGACACTGGGCTTGAAAAGCCACTGCAACATCCTGGAAGCAACACCCGGTAGGTAGCAAGTGCCCATTTCCTGAAGGAGGAGTTGTAAGTTTTTTTTTTTTTTTTTTTTGGTGTGAGAGGCTATGTCTGTATTTTTTGACTCAATGGCATTAATTCTATGTTCTGAGGTTTATAAATATTGTCTTCTGAGACTGCTTACATCTTACGGAAAAGCTGCTCTGTGTGCAGGACAGGGCAGCAGCTGGGCAGCTTCTGCTGTGGGTTCATCAGATCCAGCTGTTGGCTGCGCTGATTCTGAGCACATTTGAGAGAAGGTGTTGGGGGGAGGGTTCAGCAAAAAGACTCTGCACTATGGAATAAACAAAAGGGCAGTAGTCTCTCCTTTCATTTGTTATAAAATTCAAAGCCTTCTCCCGGCCTAATAGACCCTCATTGTGCTGCTGGCCTCAGGCCTCAGGTCACCTTCTCAGAAAGGGCTCACCTGATTTTTTTTTTTTTTTTACCTAGCAAGGCTCCTGTACTCGGGGCCTACCCCATCACCCTGTCATAGTCTCCTTGCCTTTTTCTATTCATTTACATTTTCATTATCATTGGCTAACTCTTCTCAAAAAAACCTAACAGATGCCCTCTCTCTCTTCTGTTTCCCCAGCACCTAGGATGACCCTGACTCATAGAAAATGTTCCCTGCACAACATATTTGTCACATGAACTAGAGAGCGTTTGACCTGGAGATGAGAACACTGCTTCCAAATAATAAAGCTTTGTCATGAGAAGGGAAAGATGGCCTTTCTCGGTATGGCACCAGTGATATTAATTATGGGGGTGGGCTGGATTGCAGTTCCACATGAAATAGCTAGTCCAACACAGTGAGAGCTGCCTTGGTAGGGGAGCACCCTGTGGCTGGAGGCTTTCAAGCAGAGGCAAGACAATCTCTTGGCAAGGATGTTGTAATGGTGTGGATGAGGTTCCTGGATAGAGGGTGTCTGCAAGTCCTCTTCAACCACAAGAGCCTGTCATTCCAGGTCAGATGTTCTACACTGCCCAGCACATGGTACAGGTTCCCTCATGCTACTCTCCATAATGTCCACTGAGGACTTTTTCTGGAAGGCTAAAATGCTCAATAAAATCTCATCTGTGATCATTGACCCTTGTGATTTTATTTTTCCATGAAAAATAAACACCTTTTAACTCAATGATTCTCCACCTGCAGTGGAATTCCTGGGGTTCTTGTTAAAAACTGAGAAGCTGGGGCTCCTTAAGTCTTTGAAATCAGAATCACTGGGGATAGTCTCAGGTCTTCCTTTTCCTGAATCATACCGAATTAAAGCTGATCCTATGATCCATCATCAAGTAGGAAATGGGCTGCTTGCCCTGTTTTTTGACAAAACAGAGGTGGCCTGATGTACTGGATAGATTGAGAAAAAGCAGACTTGTCCCTAAAACCAAGGAGTCCTTTCAGGCCACCACTGCTAAGAACTAAGACTTCTAGAGCAAGTGAGGTGCTCCTCAGGTTGAAGAGAGACTGCTGGCCTCATTTACAATAAGGGATAGGCCACAGGACAGATGAAAGGATATTTGAGGCAAGCCAGAACTCATTCTCTCTTGGAAGATGTCACAGGATTTTTCAGTTCAGGAAAGCTAGAGGGACAAGTGTCATCTCCTGCATCTCATATGTAACATTTCACGAAAGGAAAAGTAAAAAACCTTTGGGTGTCTATCTTTGCCACCATTGTCCCCTGACCTCCTTGACTAACTCGCCTGTGTCCCTGCATGCTAAGACAGCTTCTTGGAAGCAGCCTCCTCACAGCCTGGGCAGTGAGACTGCATGGCTGGGGCTGTCTGTCTTCTGTGGTTCCTGGTTTGGGAGAGGGTGGTACGTAAGTGGGAACTCACTTGCGCCAAGACAGAGGCCCATAGACACTTACGTTCTTTCTTTCTTTTTTAAATATTTTGTTTTAGTTGCACACAATACCTTTATTTTATTTTTATGTGGTGCTGAGGATCGAACCCAGTGCCCTGCACGTGCTAGGCGAGTGCTCTACCACTGAGCCACAACCCCACCCCGGACACTTACTTTCTTGTGCCTTAAATTGGGAACATGGGTGTCTCATGCCTTACAGCTGCCCAGGTGAGCCAGAGTCATTGTGCCATGAGATATGGGTGTAGAAGTTCCCTCTTTGTCCCTTAACCCTCCACATGACTGTCAGATTCTCAGAACAATTGAGCTGGAGTCTGATTCACTCATAAAACCCCACATGTCTGCTTGCTCCTTCCTGGAACTTGTTACACAGATGGCTGGTCTCAGGGGCCTTTGAGAGGTATCGAAGGATGATAACAAACAGAACATATTTGACCAAAGAGGACCTTCTTTCATTTCTATCTCAAGATCCCCTTGTAGCCTCTGTAAGGAGTAAAGGTTGCTGTGTAATTGGAAGACCTTGTTACAGAGCTATGCATCTAATGACTCAGAATGTGCCTCTGTCCTCAGAGCAACCACCTTCCAAGTTCTGCAAAGGCACTTTCCCCTCCTCTCTGCCTGCTGAGGATTCTAAGGAAGAAATGGGTTTCTTAGGATAGCTGAGAAAAACAGTGTTCTACATGAGGGAAAAAAGAATCTCCTTTGGCTACAGCTCCATGAGATCAGGCTATGAATGTGAGGTCCAATTTAAATGTCTCTTAGGTAATCAGTTATCATGGGAGATGGAGGGAAAGGGCTTTTGACACTTTGTTGGACACACAACATTAAATAAAATTGAAACACGCTGGAGAATTCACATGAACTGTTATATCCTTTAATAATGCAAAGGTGTAAACTTCATAAAGGCCTCGCTGATTATCTACACAACAATGTTAGCATTCTTATTAGTAAAAAAAATGTGATCCAAACCTGCTGTATAAATATTCCAAAAATGAGCAGAGAAACCCCATGTCATGTGGCATGTGGTCAGCACTAACGCAGGGCACAAAGGTAGGGTGGCTGGGCAAAGCAGGAGTGTGCGTTCCTGTGGGGCTCTCTGAGGGCCGCTTTCTTAAGGATCCCTGGCAGGGCTGGGGGTGGCAGCCTTCCCTGGGAACTCAAGTGTTAGGATGGGTGGAGGGATGCACACCATCTCTGTCTTTTGAAGGCAAACTATTATAAACCACAGCTCTGTTTGCAAGACCCCAAAGTTTTTCTCTCTGAGGGTTGTCCAGCCCTGGGATGAGCTGAGGGATGTGCTGAGGGCACAGGAACAGTCAGGCCTCTCGATATTTAGAGTTATATCAGATATACTAATGCTATCCCTTTCCTCTGGGTGGCCTGGGACCAGACTGAGTCTGACCCCAGAGCTGGCCCCCATAGGGTAAATATGTGTGACTTCTACCCAGGGTGATCAGAAGAACAGGAGAATTATGGAGGGGATCTCTTCTCCCTCCCCACAGCTCTCCCTAACTGACCTGTGATTCTCATGTCAGCCCTAGGGTACCATGTTCCTCTCCCCAGTGCTTTTCCCTGTGCCCAAGAACCATCCTGCTTCACTGCCTGGTGGGAAGAGGGGTCTGGGCTCCAGGAGAGAGGTTTGTGGCTGGGCAAGGGTGCTGCCTGCCTGAGTTAAGCCACGTGGAGCTTTGACACTGAATCCTGGGGACATTGGTGGGTGCCAACACAGGTAGCTTTGCCCACAGACCATAGCTCAGGGTTATTTGAATTCCCAAAGGGAAAGGCTAGTCTTTGAACATTAAAACACAACTGAAAAAAAAAATAAAAGAACCAAAAAGAACAAAAATCAAACTTCTGTGGAGATGTTCAGAGATGAGATAGGTAGAATGATGGGTGACCACAAGTGGGGAGGGAGTCTTTATTTGGTAGAAAGTCCACCTCCGAGCATACAAGCTCACACTACTGGGTGGTATTCAGACCTGCATCTCCAAATGTCCAACCTCAGAAAAAACACCCACTTCTTCTCCCGGGTGAACTCCCCAACAGCAGACAGGAGCACCTGGCTTTTCATGAGGGTTTTAAAAGTGTCACTGAATCAATTGACCAATAGGGAAGCTAGGGCATTCTGGTAGAGCTGACAGGCTGAGCCATCCCTGATTTAGTGACACTTTAGTGGGGCTGAGTGGTCTGGGAGTGGCCTGTTCCACCCCTTTTGCACTTCTGAGTATAACAGTGAAGGCGGGAGTTGGGCCTGGTTCACAGTGGAAGCTTCCAACCTGCCTGGTGTACAGGTGATTATGGTGACAATGTGGGTCACAGCTAGACCACAACCCCCAAGACACAGAGGTCTGTGCTGATCTGCGATATGCTGCTAAGCAACAGGAGAATTACCCCTGCTGGGAGACAAGCACCTTTCAAAGTCAGCATGTGTTGGGCACATTGTGTCTTGGCCCTGTTCACAGAAACTGCAGAAGATACTGGTTATAATACCAGGACCAAAGTACCTCCCAGAACATTCATCAGCCCCAGAAAATATCCTAATCGATTCAGCTTTTTCCACTTCATAGGCAACAGGGGGGTTAATTTGCCCATCATGTCAGCAGAGTGCTCAGGTAAATCACCAAATCTGGCTCTTTAAACTGGGGCACTTAAATACTTAAATGCAAGCCAAGCCAGCTATTAATTGAAGGGCGCAGAAGGGGCACAGAGTTAGAATGAGAGGGGGCATGTGGTAATTTCGACAATCTGAGGAGAGCTGTAGAACCCCAATTCTTCCTCTGCTACATTTTAGGTATGAACAAAAAAATTGCAATAGGTAGCAGAGACGCAGGAACTTTGCGGGGGGAACCTAGCCTGATGCTTCTTTCAAAAAATAGTCTTTAAAGAAAGAGCTCTCAGATTCTTTTTACTGCCATTAAAAAGGGGGCAAACTCCTTATGAAGTGGCACAAGTATTTGTGAATGGTCAAAATCAGGAGGTAAAGCTTTTTTTCAATTGCAAAGCCTTCCTCTTCCACACAAACTGCTCTCTCAGCTCAGTGGCCGTGGTGGGGCCAAGGTAGTCCTGACAGGTTCTTCCAAAGGGGCACTCATCGCTTTCATAGGAACTGGGCTTTTAAGCAAATTTAATTTTTGTGTTCAAGTTCCTAACAGAGCAAAAGAAGAGTCACTGCAGAGAAAAGCAATGAGACAAAGGTGTAGGATGCAGAATTGCCTCCCAAGGTAGCTGCAGTATTAAGCAATGGGTCCCCAGAGAGGACGTGTTTGTTTAAAAATAAATGTGGCAGTGGGGATGTCCCAGTGATGTCCAAGGTGACAAGTGTAACGACAGACACAGGAAGGGGAGGGAGGGGGAGAGAAGGAAAGAGAAGGCAGAGACAGAAACAGAGAAAAAAATAGATAAAAAGAAAAACAATTAGGTCAAATATAGAAAACACAAGAATTCAAGGTTAATTCAACTTAGTAAATTAAACTGACAAAGGTTAGGGAAGAGTTCAGTGCGGTATCAATACCACAGGCCAGGTCAGAAGCTCAGCAAGGCCAGAAGCAGCACAGCGGGGTTAATTGGGGGAGGTCAGGGGCCAGCGAGCAAATGAAATTAAAGTGAGAGAACAGGAGCCTCCACAGTGAAATCCCAGGGTCTGATTAGGGCAGTGTTACCTCTTACTAAGGTGAAGCCTCAGTTGCAGCCAGCAAGTGTATGGTCTTCTAGTCGCTAGTGCTTTTGCCTGAAGCAGTAGAGATGCACTGGATGTCTGCGCTAAGTCAGCAAACTGTGCATGAGGTGGGGGCTGCCTTGGTAGCGCTGAAGCAGACCTGTCTTCCTACTGCACAAACACCGCCATTGTGCTGCTGTTAGAGTCCTGTGCACCTCACCTCCACCACCCTGCTGACCACAGCATTCAACCACAAATGTGTCTTGTGATGCAAAGAGGTTTTATTCTTGGACAATAATACAACGTCCAGGAACTTCCAACCAAGCAGAGCCACCTCCTTCTAAGTCCTGCACAGTAGACCTGCACAGCCATCATGGATAAGGTGAGCAACCCTCTCTGGCTTAGTGGGCACTTGGATGATTCACAAGGATTCTGGAGGACAAGGTCTCCCTAATATTTTTGTCTCTGACTCCCAAATTCCAGAAGTTGATGTTGCTGGTAGTATCCAGCATGGGAACACAGCCTGCCTAAGTGACTGCTTATGGGAGATCACCCCAGGGAACAACTGCCTTAAGGAACCTGTCTTGCTGCAAAGGATTTACTCAAGCCTCACATTCTCCCACCTTCTAAGTGATTGCAAAGACAGAACAGATCTGGACCTCACATCCTGCTGACCAAATAACACAGGAAAGAAGGGGCGAGGAAAAGCAAGTCCACCCAGATTTGGACATCCTAATAAGCAGCAATGAGAACATTCCTCACCAAGTGCCTTGACTTTTGCACCTGTAGGGACACGCCCCCCCCCCCAGCCTGAGACAGGGAGCCTTCCCGTCCACGCTTCGATCTACAGCTTAAAACTCACCTGCCAACTTGATGGAGGCCCCATGTGTCTCCCAGACATACCCATTCACACACAAGCAACCATCCAGAATCACTCACCGACCTCTTGTTTTGTTGCTGCCTGACTATATCACTTTTGCACATCCAGCCCTGCATTTCAAGCAGCCCACACCCCTTGTGGCCTGTCTCCCCCTGGAAGGAGCAATCACGACAACTGAGCCAAGGAACTGGCAATCTCTACAGATGGGACAGGCATAATGGAGGCTGCCCAAGACTGTCTTCCTACCACACCTGAACATGGCAGAGTATGTGGGGACCCTTCCAACAGCCTGCAGCTGTAAGATCTATGTCTCCTCTCCTGCCTATGGTTGGCATTTGTCTGGCCTGGAAAAGCAAAGTGATAGCTGAAGAACTTTTTCTTTGAGGGATTTGGCCAATGAGAGGACTGGTCATCAGTGGCAAGGTAGCTAGGCCAGAAAGCAGAACTCTCACTTTATTCCCACACTTGAGTCCATCCTGGATCCCTAGAGACAGATCTGCATCTCCTAGGAGCTCTGCCACCTAAACAATCTCTAGCAGACTGCCTGCCTTTCATGGATGGTGCTTTCCAGCATCTGTCTTCTCCACTTGTTCCATTTTAAGAGGTTCAATTTAATTTCCATTTCAGGGGAGAGGCCCTTGGCAGATAGGATTTGTCACTAACTGGGCACCATCTCTTCCTTCTCTTGGGGTCACCATAGAGAAGAGATTTGGACCATGGTCATGCAGAGAAAGCCAGCATCATATAGAAAGTGCATAAAACAGTTACGTGTTCTATTATGGAATGGTAGATGGCAGATAAGGTCTCATAAAGGATCCTTACTCAACCAGAATCCAAGGCAAGGCAGGAGCTGGGCATTTCCCATCTGAGGGGTTCATGGACTGGTTAGCATCGGTCCTTCAAGGCCGAATGAGACAGGACCTTTACCCCAGGATGCTTGGCCAAGCCTTCCTGGGGGTCCAGTACATCTCAACCCACTGCACAGATAGGTACAAGGCAAAACTAAGCTTGGCTGGGCAACCAGTCGTGAGGATGGCTGTAAGCAAGCAAGTTGTCAGGGTTGTTCAGGCGCATTAGGAGGAGCAGCACTTGTGCATTAATTCAAAGCGGAAAACTACTAGAAAGCGGAGGCAGTCATACCTGGGATGGCTGTGGGCTGGGCCGAGGTCTTGAACACAAAATGAGCTGCCTTGGACTTCCCCTGCTGGTTCTCAGCCACCACATACACCTCGTACTCAGCATTCCAGTCCAGGGACTTGAGCATGACATGGTCACTACCAGACGGGAGCCTGATCTCTGGTTTCCACTCGGAGGAGATCTTCTGGGAGAAATCGGCAGGAAAGATACCAGACACCAGAAAGTTTTAATAAAAATGCTGGTGAGATCTGCTAAAAGGCAAAACTTAGGGAGTCTAAAACTACAGGTGTCAAATTGCAAAAACATGAAGCACTAAAAGAACATGGTCCTTGTTCTTTGTGAGCCTGAAAAATGCACAGATGGGGAGGTCAACCTTGAAGGTCTGCAAATGCCAGTGTGCACAGGGACAACCACCCTCACTGTCTCAACACCTTCAGGGCATGCAGGGGCTCAGGCACATTCCCCTTTGGTCCAGTCTACATTCTGGAATGCTGGGCACACAGACATGAGGGCTTTTTAGAAGTGTAGTTAAATGAATACGCTTCTTGTCCTATTTCAGAATTCTGCTCACACTCAGGTGTGCGATTCACCTTTCTGACCTGTGAGCACTGCATAGACTCCAATTTCACTATCAACACTCATTTATTGAGCACACACTTTGTGCCAGGCACTGACCTAAAGGCTGTCTACACATTTTCTCATTGTGTCTCTACAATAAGTCTACAGGAGGTTTTTGTCAGGCTCTTACCAAACCTGATGATGGGGATGTGAGAGGGAGGGTAGGTAAATTCCCAAAGTCACTCTGTAGTCAAGGTTGGAGCTAAATCCCTCTGGGCCCAAAGCTGTGAATTATGAATTATTATTATTCTTTATTCTACATAATGTGACTTGGTCTCCAGCACTGTAGCTGAAGGGATGAGGTTCTGCTGTCAGGCCTAACCCAGAGATCCTCAGAGGGGCCATGAGGAGCACCCCACAAGGAGGGCCCCACACAGCATTGCCTAGGGCAATTGCCTCCTAAGGTAGCTGCAGTATTAAGCAGTGGGTCCCCAGAGAGAACGTGTTTATTTAAAAATAAATGTGGCAGTGGGGATGTCCCAGTGATGTCCAAGGTGACAAGGCAAAATGGGCAAAATGAGAAGCTTGAAGGCTAGGATTCTGGGTGTGTCTTTTTTTCTCAGCCAGCATTCTCTGATTATTGCCTTCACCTTTGCCAACGAATTTGCACTGGATGGGAGTTTACAAAGCCATTGTTGAGCAAGCGCCTCCTTAACAAAACAGTTGTGGGAAAAGATGCAGAGGCCTCTGAGAAATCTTCATGTGGTTCTGATCACAACCTCTGGCCCTTTCTCAAGGCCTGTGCCCTGAGATACATGCTGGACACATAGGAAGGTCTAACAAATGCTTACTGAACGACAGGCTACTCTTCCGAGAGAAGAACATGGCTACAATGGAAGGTAGTCCAGAGCCCCACAGGCCCAGGGCTGATGGGAGTCATCTTACAGCAAAAGAGGTCTTACCAGGCAAAACCATTTGGACCAGTCAAAAAGACACCTTTAAGAATGTGATAGTGCCCATGCCAGGGCCTGAGACTATTATGGGGAAATGCTAGAAAAAGTTGTGATTTCCTAGTGCCTAAGCAGGATGCCTGGGCTGTGCTGTAAGTTAGCTTTGTGTTGCCACTACGGGGTCCTGTTTTCATTTAAAACAAAAAAAATTGAGCCGTCTGTCTGTACTCTTCTTTCTCTGTCTTCCTCAGCAAACATCATTACAGAAGAGACAACCTGACTACAAAGCAAATATTCAATAAAGCAAACATTATGTTATATAATACATATTAATAATACATGATAATATTTAGCAAACAATAAGTTTTGAAGTGAAAGGGAGAGGGTGGTTAACATTACTGAAATCTAAAATAGCTCGGGAGTTTTACTCTGGTTGGTTGTCTTTCTAACACAGTTATGATGGCTGGCCCTGGAGGTGGCCTCTTGTGGGAGAAACTTTTAGCTGGAGCCTGCATCTTAGCAGAAACTGCAGCTACCATTTATAGAGGCTTCCAAGGGCCACACATACTTCAGGTTCTTTGTAGACAATATTGTGAATCTTTACAACTTGGTAAGTTATTCTATCCCCATTTTACAGGTGAACTAATGGAGGTTTTGGAAGATTGGGTGACCTAGTCAGGTCTTATGCTGGTACGTGGTAAAGCGGGAACCGGATGCCTTGCCTGTCTGGCTCTAAAACCCATGCTCTGTCTAGTGGGCCACATTAGCTTAACAATGGCTAGAGGCAGTCCATCCTACCAGTCCATCTGCTTCCAGTGGAGTGTGCAAAGACCTGCCTGGTCCTGGCATCCTTCTCTGCCCTGAGGAAGCAGAGAGACCTCTCATTCTGTGATCCCTCTGGGCTGGGCCTTAAAAGGTCAACTGAGTTTTTCTCTACTATATCAGATCACCCCGGCATGACTTAGAAATTAAGTGGGAAGCAGGGCTGCATTGACAGCCTGCCCACTGGCTGAGAGGAGTGCCTGGAAGGCTCTGTGCTGGACCAACTCTCTAGAAGCCTAACTAGCTAATGACCCAAATGTCACTTCTACCTCGGGGGCTGATCACACGACAGAGAGAGGAAGCCAACTTCCTGGAAAAAGCCTTACTTGGGCAACTTGAAGAAAGGAAACTGCTCTCTGGCTCATTATTTTCTATTGCTAAGAAACTCTAGCAACAGGCTGTTCCTAGTGCCCAGAGACTGTCTTAACATCTCTTCGCAACACTTGTGGTTGATGATGAACAAGCATCATTGGATTTGGAGAGGTTGGGGGTGAAAGGTGGAATGCTGGACATCTTAGATGAGTGATGAGCAAGACAGAAGAAGAGGCTTAGAGCCAAAGAGCAGGGGAAGGGAACGGCGCAGCCTTAGGATCTTAAGGCAGCTTCAGGCAGGGGTAAGAGCCTGGCTCATCAGTTACTTGAGCCTGAATTCAAATTCCAGCTCACCCAGCTGGGTAAGACCTCCAGCTTCTGCTGCAGCTCTGGTTACTTCACCTGTACAGTGAGGAAAATTTCAAGTCCCGCTTCACAGGGTTTTTGTGCAGGGAACACGCCTTTACATAACTTTATAGAAAAATTTAAGAACCAGGAAAACCAATCATGGTGTGGGTCTGTCAACACCACAATCATTTTAAGTGTTTTCAAATGGTCCAATGGTCTAACAGTTCCAGATGGTCTTAGGATTTAAAACTCTGTGAGTTTTAAATCCTCAAGTGCCCATGAGTCAGCTATAGGATACAGTACAAGAACTGTCTCACTCCAGCCTACCTGGGCTTCACCTGGTTGTCCCTTCAAAGGACAAGGCAGGTGTCAGTGATGCAGGGATGGGGTCGAGTCTGGGGTAGAAGGCTACTCACCGCTCGGTACTTGACCAGATAGTGTCTGATGGGGGAGCCGCCGTCGTCCTGCTTGATCAAGTTCACCTTAATAGAGTTCCCGTCCTCTCCCATCTGCCCTTCGAGTTTAGGTGCACTGGGCTCCCCTGAAACAGCCAGTGAATTCACATGAAATTTTGGTCTACAGAATGATAATCAGATCCATCAGAATGGGATATAGGGATGGGAGGGGAAGGCTGGGCACTTTTCTTGCTATTTCACAAATTGAATGATTAAAACACAATAATACAAACCCTCCAAGTTCCACTTAGTTGCATCACTCAGTTGTAGCTCAAAGGGAGTGTGTCTTTTGTAAATGTTATGGGTAACACTCTCCCTACCAGCACTCTGTTTTACTAACAGGGTTTTCCTGTCTCTCTCACTGCTACTTTCATTTCCTTTCAGCTGCTCTCACTCTGCAGATATAATTTTTATGAGCCTGGCATATCTTGACGGACAGCCTGAAATATGGGAAAATGTAAGTGTTTGAGCAGAAAAGTTACACCCCTAGAATTATTTTTCAAAACAGTCCAGTTTTTCCCTCGGGTATATCACTCGCCCCAAAGGCCCAAGGGTTTGATCCAATGGGACTGAATGCTGTTACATTCTTGTGACTAGCTTTTCATGAATTAAATTTTTATTGTTTAGAATCATTTAGAAAAATAAGTTTCCAGTTACGATTAAATAAAGCACAAACTGCCACAGGCAAGTTTCCTGTAACTATACGGCATTTATGGCTCAACTGAGTGAGTGATAATCCTCAGCACTTCAATGTATTAAAGCAACAGTCATTAAAGTACTTTCTCTTTGTGAGAGGGGAGAGAAAGAAATTGGTTTTAGCGCTGCTCAACAGAAAAGGAAAAAAGTCAATGTTTTTCTTTATGTGTAGTATATGCTCGCTCAGACTGAGGCGCTATGAATCCGAGTTTGAGAAGAAAGATGAACCTGAATGTGAAAAACTACCAGGGCTAGGATGGCTCTTCCCTAAGAGGCGGATTTACTTTGAGAGAAACTATTTTGTTAGTGTATGCTGAAAGCAACAGGTGAGAGATTATCTGATATCAAGAGTAACAATTAAGATTCAACATACTTGGGGATCCTGCACTTTTACTGGGAGGAGCCACCTCCATTATTATCTCTTGAGCTCAGAAAGGAGGCTTGGGGGAAGCTATGCAATAGTTACCTTATGGGTGAGTCCCTCTGTCTGGCCAGGAAAACAATCACAAACATGATAGAAGAGCCAGGAAAAAGGCTGTCACTAGGCTGTGGACCTCATCACCCGACTCTGCACCACTGGCCCTGTGGGAGCAGGCTGCTGGCAGAGGCAGTGTTTAGCTTGGCCTCCTTGCCCAGCTACTTTGTGAGCCTCCTCCCTTTGATACAAGGAGGAGCTGTAGAGAGCTAACACAAAGCCTTGCTATTTAGCACATCAGGCCAGTAGCTCGCATATCACCGGGAACTTGTAAGAAATACAGACTCTCATTTGGTGACCTGCGTGCATGGTTAGGTTTCAGCAATGGTGTGACAGGGACAAATAACACCTGCAGCAGGAAGGATACATGGTCTTGATGTCTAGGGATATTTAGGAAAAGTTGTGTTTATTATTTGTTTTCTACAAGAAGTAATTAAAGGAAAATGAAGACAGGATTACCAAAATAAATGGGCTTCGAGCAAAAATTGTCCTGATTTTGAGCCACTATCTAGCCACTCACCCAAACTACTCAGTGGAAAATATGTAGACATTTAGTTTAGGTATATCAAGGTATATAGAGGCTTTTCTAAGTCTTAGATGCTAATTTAGTATGTCTACCTCATTGTAAGTGTCCAGTGTCAAAAGAAGCTCAAAGTAGAGTCTGTTTTAGAGTAGGCAGGAGCTCTGTGTAGATTCTGCCATATTGAACCAATGAAAGGAGGAGACACCTTAGAACTTGGTAGATTCCTTTCTCTGACTTAATTAGGGTAACCAACTTATCACAGTTAGACTGGAACATTACAGGTTTTACCATTGCAAGTTTGACATCCCAGGAAACCCCTCAGGCCCAAGCTAGGATGGATGGTGACCCCTGACTGATGGGAAATGTACATTAATTGTAACATGCTGTGTGTTGGATGGTCTATCTGCCTTTAGGAAGGAGGTGATTTCTATCAGGCAGTATCAGTGACCCTTCTAACACATCAACTAGGCAAGGACCACATGCTCCCCCAGGGACTCCTTGGGACCACTCAAAAATGAGTTTCTAGGGGCTGCTTTGCCTGATGCTTCTCACTCTTTCCTCATGGAATGGAGTAGTGTGGGTTTTCAAGGCTGAGCCAATACCATGAGATGCCTTCTCTGAACTCTGCTTCCCAGGAGCCGTGATGTCATAGCCAGGTTAACCCCTCTTTGCATGTCTGCAGCATGTGGCCACTGGATGGAATACTAGGGTTCCTTCCAGCTCTGCCACGTGGTGACACCGTGACAGGGTCACCGCACTAGAGTGATCTCCCAACTATGCCTCTGCTATTACTTACAACACCACGAAAGAATGAACCTATGATATATGCCTTCAGCCAATTTTAGGGAGATATACCCAAAGATTGACAATTCTATATCTCTAAGGCACAAAGTTATCAACTTTTGCTGTACAATTTTTGAAAACTTTTCTCAAAAATGTTCTATCTTTGAAAAGAGAATCCCAAGCCTCTTTAAAGATACATGAACAAAAAAAAATCTCTCCGAGGAATGCTTGCAGAATCCAATGGCCCACAAGAAGAAACTCTCTCATGTCTGGATTTGTTTCAGAAAAAAAAATATTATTGGAATCACAAGAAAAGCCCCTAAAAACTGTGCCACAGTTAAAGTTCTAACATTTACTATAGTTAGAACACTATAATTTGCTACCATTTTATCTGAGTGACTACCATGTTAGTCAGATGTGTATTGTTTTCTCATAGAATTTTAAGAATTTTCTATTGTCTAATTTTTAGATGTATTATTTAGAGTGATTTTCCCACACAATTTATTCACCAAATGTGTACTGTGTATCTACTAGATACCAGATAGACTGTCGGGCAATGAAGTCTTAAAGATAAGATATGCTTTTGCCAGCTAAATGAAAGAACTTAGTTATGATCTTTTAAAAAAAATCATGAGACTCTTGGACTTAAACATAACCCTTTCTCTGACAGTATTCCTACAGGAAGATCATTTTCAACTAAAATCATCGAGATTTTGATAGACTCTGTGGCTCTATAACTTGCTGTAAGTACAGTAAAATTTGGATAAAGCAATTGTTTACTCGGTTGTCTAATTCATCTTCAAATGTTCACCACCATCCACGTTTCCTAAAGGTTAGAAATGGGGTTAAAGAGCCTTTCCTAAGCTCTCTGCACAAAGCCGGGCTTGACAGGGAAGGAGTCACTGCAGAAGCAGTGAGAACCCAGCATTCAGGAGACTCATTGCTTAATTGAATACATTAGCAGAAGAAATGATTTAAAGGGTCCTAAGGTTCTAGGGTGGCTGCTGTGATTGAAATCATTATGGGCAATTTCAGCAAAACCAATATGGCAATTATTTGTAAATGTTGGTTTGCAATTCAGCAGCAATAGGCAGGTTGCTCTGACAAGACCCCTGGGGTTAATTATACCCTTTGAATTTAGCTTCAGCTATGACTCAAAATTTCCCCCCAAATATTTTATGCAAAGACGAAAGTAGCAGTACCCTAAAAATAAACCTTGACAATAGCAAATATGAAATACTGTTCTAGTTCTAGTATTTTCTGGCAGGATGTGAATAACCAGCTCAAGAAAAAAAAAAGAATGTGCCATAGAAGCACACACTATCATAGGCAGTTTTATGAAATTTTATGAAATTCCCTCTAGAAACCATAATTGAAATGTATATTTCTGGCCATGCAGATTGCAGGTTCCTCCTTTGTAATTACTGGGCTTCTCTGCTCTTAAATCTGAGTCTGCTTCAGGCCCTTCCTCCTATTAGCAGGAGCCATGGGGTTAGGAACTACTGCTGGACTTATGAATCCCACAGCATAGATGATACATAGTATAGGGTGTTGAGAAGCTTTTGTTAATTTTAAAATGAAACACTATTCTGTTTTTGACTCAAAGAAGCTGAAGCACCAAGAGCTATACATTTTGCATTAAATGCTGAGGTGCCAAACAGCTACCTTCCAGAAGGCTTGATCTGTTCTCTACTCGACCACTTTATTTTCTCTCCCCTAGGGACCCACACAAAGTTTCCCGGTCTGAGTGTTAAACCAGTGATGGATGTAGGGCTTGCATTAAAATCTCCTATTGTTCCCATCAAACAACATTGTCATACATTAAAAATAATGTTCATTTTGTTTTATCCTGACTCCTGTCTCCTTTGGTTGGTTCTTTCTTATAAGCAATTTGCAACTTGTGTAAAACTGTTTTTATTATTTGCTTTTAAAAAGCCCAAAATGTATGATTTAGCTATTCAGATATGAAGCCTGAGTCTATTCCATTTTTTTCCCACTCAGAAACATTACAATTTCATCAAGCAGTTATTGATAGGTCCTTAAGAGATGAGCAAATTACTTTGGGGAACTGGGATTTAGATTTATTAGACCACCAATTGTCTTTCCTGAAAACAGCTCTTAGTTGTAGATATAATGCAAATGAATGTGAGATCCATGTTGTACACGTTCTTGGGTCCACATGACTCTCTCTGATATCTCTTTTGGTAACCTACCTGGCTTTCTAACAGTCCAAAAGAGCAGACTGACCATGCTAAGGATAGGTATCCATTTGCCTTCAGCATTGTTCCCCCCAAATCTGGCCTCTGGGGTCAGGTGTCCTATCTCCTCTCCAGGATTAAGGATAGGCTTGTGCTAAGTGATCTGACTCTGTCATCCTAGCTCCTGGTTCCAGGGGAGGCCAGGATACAGAATGAATGGGTACAGACGTGGCCAGTTCCCCAGGTTCTACAGAGAAAGGATGCTTAGGTCTCTGGGACTGAGCTCATGGAGGCATCTGGCCCATAAATCCTTTTCAGCCCTGGTTTCCTTAGGAATGGTGAATGTGCTGGAGGTGGGGTGGCACATGGCAGCACAAAGTACAAGCCAAGCATCGACAAATGAGCTCTGACAGACAGAACCACAAAAACACCAATTCCCTTCTCGTGGGTGTCATGAAAACACCAACAGATTAATTGATCAATTATCTTTTTTTCATCATCCTAAAAAGAAAATATGACCATGAAGGTATGGCTTGTGGTTATGGGGCTGATCCAGGCTGAGGAAGTTACGACAGAAATAACTATCACCAACAATTAACTTGGCTCCTGCCTCCGCGGCCGCAGGGTGGTATGGGGAGTCGGTGCACATTTTCAACAGCATCTCATGGACATTAGATGGGTTATTAAGAAGAACGAACCTTCTTAATAATGTTCCCACCCTCATGCTGGTAATCTTAGGGGAACTGGCTGCCAAAGCCAGCCCTGGCCTCAGTCTCTGCCCACAGGATTTGGGCTGATACATCGCTGCTTCCTCCTTCAGACTGTTCCCACTAACTCTCTACCCTGGGAGCCACCAGTGTGGGGAATCCTTAGAAATAAAGGCAATTAGAACAGAAACCCTCGTGAAAAGTCTGTGTCCACCTGCCAGAGACCATGGCCATCCAGACACACAGCTGTAAAAAAAAATAAAGGAGGGTGTGGAAGGGATGGTTAGTGATGTTTTCAATCTAAGAAGGAAGAGTAGGTGTTAAAAGAGTTTAGTTCATCAGAATCAGCATTTCCAAGTCAGTGTCAGTAGCTAAAGAAAAAAAAAAAAGATCATTATGAATGGATGGGGAGGGAGCCATGCTCAACATGCAGCACGTGACAGAAAGGGTGCAGGGGGCTTTGCATCACACACATGCTGGCTGGGGACGGCAGGGGAGTCCCAGTTACACCCAGTCTTCAGCAACTGATGGACAGAATCATGGCTCTGGGAGTCTCTGGAAGTCTTGTAGTTACATGAGGCAATGATGGCAGAACAAACTTCTCTGTGGAGCATTGAAAACTGACTTCTGCCATCCTATTACAATTGCCCATGCTTTATCTGTCATAAGCCTCCACACCCAAGCCCTGAAGGCTCAGGAGCCAACTAACCATGGAGGATGGTGGACAGTCCCTGTTTTACCTACCTTATTTATTCAGTGCTGCTGGACTCCATAAACACTGTCCAGTTGAACTTAAAGGTGGATGGAGCATGCAGCATATATTAAGTGCATCCCAGGCAAGTTTTTTATGTGGGTATGGAGAGAGGGCAGATAGAGAACCTTGGATTTCATCCATTGTTGGGTATATAACTGCCTAATGTGAGAAAAACCTCCAGCTCAAAATTTTTGAATTCAGGTCTAATTCACCTTCAGTGCTTAGTAAATTTCAGGGAAAGGAAGTGATAACTGTCCTTCACAAGGGTTTATTTATCTCCTCTGGAAATTTTAATTGTCCTCATCTCTGTATTCCCTTAAACTTTATTATTAAAGGCCACTTCCTACTGCTGCTGGTGGCTCTCCTGAGAAATTCCTGATCCTTGCAGATGGCAGGAGAGGATGGGTCATGGATGGGAACATAGTTTGATGAGGGGTAATGATAGCTTTAGAATTCCATAAGGCTCTCAGTGATTTTTTTTTTTTTTTTAGTACTGATCACAGTTTTTATTGATGGACAAGATCACTGCTAAGGCATGCATCTAGGACAACTATAGAAAACATCTTCTAATATTTCTTGTTTTGTTTAAACGTTTAGAAAGAGTTCTCTCTTTGGAGGAGTAAATAAGTTTCTATTTTAATGTTGTGCTTTGCTTCATTCTGAATTATAGCATTTCACAGAAATGACCAAACCTGTTTTAAAACATAAGCGAATGAGTTCCAAAGCCAATATCCAGCATCTGCTCACAATTAGCATCTCAGGGGGGAAGGGCCAGATCTTTTTCCAGAGCATCAATGTATGGTTTGGATATGAGGTGTCCCCCCAAAACTCCTACACTAATGCAGAAATTTTTGGAGGTGAAATGACTAGATTATGAAAGCTGTAACCTAGTCAGTCCATCTTTGTTTGAATGGACTGACTGGGATTAATTGTAGGCAGGTGGGGAGCAGTTGGAGAAGGTGGGTCACTGGAGTATGCCTCGAGGGGGTTCTTCCCTGTGATCTCTGCTTCCTGGCAGCCATGAGATGAGCAGCTTTCTTCCTCCATGATCTTCTGCCATGATGTTCTGCTTTATCTTGGGCCAAGAGCAATGCATTTGGCCGACCATAGACTAAACCTCTGAAACCATGAGTCAAAATAATCTTTTCCTTTGCTAAGTGGTTCTTATTGAGTATTCTGGTCACAGCAATGAAAAGCTGAGTAATATAATCAGTCACTGAGCAGTCACCACAAGTCTGAAAGAATTCTGCTCCTGCTGGTTGCCAACTTTAGGGAAGTACTAAAACTATAGTATTTAGGGTGGAACTTGAGTTTAGAAAATCTGAAGTTTTTTCCGATATTCTCTGCCCTATGACTGACAGATCAAGATAATTTTTGAAGGTAGGTCAAATCTTACTGTGTACAGCATCAGGTGTCCTTCTGGGGATGTTCCCACCATATTTCCTATGATGTAAATATCAAACGGTTCTTTTTGGAAACGAGGTGGCTTCTGTGCAAGTTCAGGAGCCTGGTTGTAAATGGGACTAGAGCAGGGCTAAGCTGCCATACCTACAAAGCAGAAGTCCTCAGAGATGGTACATAGTAGATGTAGCATGAAGGAGAGGGAAAATACATAGGGCTAACACATGTGGGGAGCATGACGTAGAAGCGACAGGGAACAAAAAAACATGCGAGACGAGCTGTTGATGGTTTTGACTGTGTGGATGTCGCCCAATCAGTTCTCAAGAGAAGTGAGGTTCAACGGGAGAACCCCTTGCATGCACGGGCACACTGGGTGGTTATTGGTGTTAGTTTTGCTTTTGTGGTCAATGCGGCCTGTATGTATCTCAGGGCGTGATGTGAAGTAAAAATTTTCAGTTAAGAGAGGGGGATGCATTTGACTCCCAGGGCAGGTTCTGAACAGGCAATTTTAGTTAGGGAAGCTGTGAGCAGAGGCTTCCTTCTTCTCTCTTTATGGTAAGTGAGAAATGTTTTTAACGAGGTTGTGACAGGCACAATATTAACTAATTATTTTGTCACCGCTATGTGCTTAATTAGGCTATAATTTTATTTCCTTTGCTGCAAGGGTCAATCATGTGCTTCTTGATTACACGGAGATCTCCAGTCATGGTAATTGCCAAGTGACTTTTGCTTGATTTGTCCCCCCTGCCTGGGGGAGGGCCACTCTTGAAAAGTGACACCTCAGTAATCACAGCCAAACTGCTCTAATGCAAATTCCTATTTCAGAAAGTCCTCAATTTGCATGAATTGTATGAAGCACTCTCACTGGTTCTGAACAAATATAACCTTTGCAATGGAGTATTTCTCTCTGTCTCACTTTAAGATTGCAAACATTTTCATGGGACTGTGATTAATTTTAGAACAATGGTGGGGAATAGAACTTCTGAATATAAAGTTAAATAACAATACTACAGGGCTAGTTACAAACATGTTTCTGGGAAATATTTTTTATGAACTCTCTGATAAAAATTCAAGTTTGCAAACTGTGCTGTGGCTAACGTGGCTTTCCTTAGAGAGCAGCTGGTGTGACCAAATGTCTTGAAGCAAAATATTAAACCAAAGACAGTCACATTATCTAATTGCCACATTGGACAGTTGTAAGGAATGATGAATTCTGGGTGTGAATTGAGAACAAGAGGAAAGCTCTCAAATGGCTTCTTTTAGGATATCTGAAGTGGAAAGAAATGAGTGGACCCTTGGTGCCAGGCTGTGGTCCCAGATTTATTTCACTAATCAGAATAAAGAGTTTTACCTTCTGTTCACCAGCGTGGACGACATCATCAGCACCATGCAAGCCACATGACAAAGTCACATGATACGCACGCACATGATTGGTTGAAAGGAAAGTGGAGGAGGTCACATGGAAAATACAAAAAAATTAAAAACTGATGTAAACAATGGGTAGGGAGAAAAATCAACAACAAAATCACAGACTAAATAAAAGGAGAAATCAAATTAAATTAGCAGCATATTTAAGAAACATTGGGAGGACAGTAAAACTGCCCAGAAATAGGAAAATAATAAATCATAAAGAGCATTTGGTTAACAACACCAATAAGCATTAGATACAGCTGCAACACTGCATATTAATACACACTAAGGAACATGAACACTTGTTCTGAAATGGGGAGGTGTTTCTGTCAGGACCCAGATGTCAAAGTCAATCCAGGAGACTGTTAAAGGAAAAGAACAAAATCAAGTCATTATTCACAGACTCCAGAAATGTCTCAGCATCCTTGGGAAACAAAGGCGATGATGAAACAAGCCAAGGGCCATCAAGGTAAAGTCCTGAGATTGTTAAGGTGAAGACTCTAAGCCCTGGAAAAACAAAAGATCGCATTAAATGAAGAGAGGTCATTTCAGGTTTCCACTGGTGAACAAGGGGAGGGAACGTGGGCTGGATGGGGCTGGGTGGATACAGCCCAGAGATGCTGGCTTTGAGGGTCTTGTCTGGCTTCCCTACCTGCATACCCACAATATTGCTGACCTCTGCTGAGACTCCCCAAGGTCAAGACACATATAAAAGAAAAGGCCAGAGCATATCAGGGAATGGGTTTCCTTCTGGCAGCCATCAGGGAATGGCTCTGTCAACACTAACCTGGAGGAATTGAACCTCTGGCTGAGTGAGCTGAGAACCTAGCATTAAAGAAATGCCTGACAGCATGTGGATGGAAGTTATATCTCCAGACCTTAGGCTGCACTGATAGAAAATGAATGTGATATTCACAATGTAAAAAAAAATACTTCTCTATGTTCATATATGAATATACAACCAATGTAATTTCACATCATGTACAACCAGAAGAATGGGAAGGTGTATGTATAATATGTCCATGTGTATATAATAATATGTCAAAAAATATTCTACTGTCAAATAAACAATAGCCTTCTCATTTGGATTCATCTCTCTTCCTTTCAGTCCTGTGTTGTGTCCTCCATTCCAATTTGGGACTGAAGGATCTTGACCTCTGAAAAGGCATTTTGGGTTTCCCATCTCAACTTTCACAGGCTTGGGGAAGATTTGGTTATTGCAAGTTGAAGCTAAGGGAGAAGAGGGAGATCTATACTTTTTTGCAAGAGGCACACAGCTGGTTAAAAATAATCAGAGAGAAATTATTTAACCAAGTTCTATATGGCCTGCCACTGTAAGCTACCAGAATGTGCACTTCGTATTGTCCTTGGTTTCCACCGAGGGTGTCCTACAGGTGCCCAAAGTTTCTCTTTGAATTTTATTTAGGATACTTTTATCCACTCATAATTATAAGTGAATCTACTCACACATGCAAAACCAGGAGATGTTATTTATTTTCACCCTTACTGGTTGATGATCGATGGAGTTTTGCCTGCTTATAGCTATTTTGCTGTTAGTTCCATGCAAATCACAGATGCTACATTTTGTCTGGGGAGGAGTCTGTCCATGCTAAATATAGGCCACTACCCAATTGTGGCTGCCTCTACTTTATCTCAGGATGCACTGGAACCTATGATTTGGGTCAGTAGACAAGTGGTCCAAAATAAAATGGATTCAAACTTTCTTCCTTTGAATGTCACAACTAAGCATATTGTCTGTGGGTGGCAATGGTTGTTTAAAAATTAAACATGACAGGGGAGAAACACTTCATTCCTCTTTTAGGAAGAATCTGGAATCAAGGTTGCATTTCACTGATAGAGAAGACCAAGCAACAGGGAGATGCGTTAACTATGACACAGGTGCACAAGTACATCACACACACAGCTTTCTCCTACTATGTGTAAGGGGGGGAATAGGGACACATACTGCACCAGACCGCAAAAGGCCAGGAGGGACACTGTAGAAGAAAGGGTGCTATTAGCTGCATTCCTTTACAAAACGCAAAAAGAAAACAACCACCAACAAAGAAACCTCATCATCCGAATTAAACCCACAGCTCATTGTCACCCACTCTGCTCTGCTGACAAAATGAAACCTCAAAAGCATCAGGAATTAAAATTCATCACAGCACACACACGAAGGGAACACCAAGAAAGCAGACTCTTAGCTGTGTTCTGCAGTAGAAAAAAGAACCATTTCATGCATCACACAGAACCAGGAAACCCTTTTCTTCTCTGTTCAATGTCTCAGAAGCCTTGGCCCAGGGAGCAGGAGCTGTACTGTGCATACCTGCTTTCTGCCCTTTCCCTCTGATTCGGGCTGAATGGGATTATCTTTGTGTGTGTGTGTGTGTGTGTGTGTGTGTGTGCGTGCACGTGTGCACGTGCGCACACCCAGAAATATTGTAAAACTTGAAACCTCCATCTAGCTTCGGTGTTTAAACACTACAAACATGCACATACACTCCTGTAGCCTAGCCAGAGGATGTAGGTCTTCAACACATCCAGCTTCATTTTAGAGCACCTAAAGGCCAGCTTGGAACTTGTACAGTAGTGATCAGTGTCATCTTTACACAATGGGAAAAAAATCATATGGTCAGGCTCTTAACTCTACTGTCAAGGGTTGAATTGCAGCACTTTCATCTGGATTTTCAACCCAGAGGGAGCCTGGGTGAGGTTTCTTCGGTCCAGGTCCATCATTTTCTAGAACTGCAGAGGAAGCCTGCAAGAGACAGAAGGAAGGCGCTCTGGCTCACTTCCTCAGAGTGGACTCTGCACAGTGAGACAAAGGCAGCCATGCTGTCAGAGGCGACTCCTTCCTTCTCTGCACCACTCTCCACCTTCCTCTAAGCAGCTACTTCCTCCTATTTCTTTCCTCTCTCTCAATCGTTTGGGATTTCTACATTAGTGTGCACTTGTGTGCATGCACATGTGTATGTATTTTAGAGTGAGTGGGCAACAAAAGCTAGGAAGGAGTTGGCGTTCTTTGCTCAGAGTTTCCCTAATCCTTTTCTATTTTTAATGTGAAAGTCAATTTGCAAAGGCCTCCTCAGACACAGAGCATTCTACAAATAATCACCCTGTTCTTTTGAAGATGCTTGGTTTGCTCCCTAGGCCAAGCAGATAGCATGCTTAGGAAACCATTCTAGGCAAGAAGCCTCCATGCATTGACAACTATTGCTTTTAATAAAAGGGAAAAACACAAGCAGTATGGCAACCCAGAAGTTGGCTCTCCAACAAGCAGCAATCAGAGGTGCAGCTGAGCTCAGCTCAGCTCTGTACTCACTAGACAGTACTGAGGATGTAAGGGCAGGAAGAGGCCAGGTTGCTATGAAATGTGAAGGACAGAGAGGGTAACAGAACGGTGAAGGGAGAAGGGAGGTAAAATCTTAAGTCTATATGTATATACATGTATGTGCACAAGTATTTTTAAAAATTTAATTTAACTTCTTTTTTGGGGCACCAGGGGTTGAATCCAGGGTCACATAATCACTAAGCCACATCATCCCCAGCCCTTTTTATATATTTATTTTGAGACAGGGTTTCACCAAGTTGCTTAGGGCCTCACTATATTGCTAACACTGGCTTTGAACCCATGATCCTCCTGCTTCAGCCTCCCAAGGGCTGGGATTACAGTGTGCACCACTGTAAATGGCTACATATTTTATATATGGGTATCATAAAGAAAAGACAGAAATGATGAAGGGATATTCTTTCACTCCCTTCTTCCCTAATTTATCAATACTAATTGTAAATATTTTTAAAAGATTATCCAAAATTTTGCTGACAAAAGACTCACAGCAAGGAAAAAATACACCCCCTTTTATTTCTTCTTCTTATTATTACTATTATTTTGGTGCCAGGATTAAACCACTGAGCCACATCCCCAGCCCTTTTTATTTTGAGATAGAGTCTTACTAGGTTGCTTATAGCCTTGCTAAATTTCTGAGGCTGGCTTTGAACCTGCAATCCTCCTACCTCTCATCCTCCCAAACTGCTGGGATTACAGGAGTGCACCACTGTGCCTGGCCCCCATTTATTCTTACTATCAATTTCAGCTGCTACAAGTTGGATACTCAGTTTTGAATGTTTTACATTTTTCTTTAATTTACACAAACATCTGAAAGGTAAGTGGAATCCGCCCTTCATTTTAGAGATGACAATCCTGAGATTTGGGGAGTTTGAGTGACTTATTAGAAGTTGTGGAGCTGTAGGCAGAAAGAGCAGATTGGGATTTGTGTTTCCAAGGCCTGCACTCCTTCTGCTACAGCACACTGCCTGGGATGGCACCGCACATGATTCTGAGTCAAAAAGAGAACAGAGGGCATCTGAGCTTGGAGCTTGAGCCACCTTTTGAGGCTGAGCTCAAACGTCAGTGGCTTCTGCTGTACCAGGGAGAAAAAAATCCAGCTGGGCAGGGCCACCCTGCCTGTGTACCTGCTGCTGTGTGCTGCTCTGAGTCCATGCTGGCATCCCATCCTGTATTTGCTCAGCTGGTGTCTTACTTTCCTCTGCCTCCTCCCCCTTACCTCCCCCCCCTCCAACTAGGATAAAACTCCAGAGTAGGAGACCCAGAGCTCTCTCTACCCGTGGGGATCCAAAGGAACAAAAGATCAGAGAAGCAAAATGGCATGCCTGGACATGAGTCAGACTCAGCCAGTGGCACAGCCTGAGGCTGACCAGTTGCTATTCTTGCTGGGCCAGTGGTACTGATCAGGTGGGCAAAGCAGAAATTGATGAATGCTTTGATGTTTGCTGCTTACTTTAGGGGGATGGATGGAGGCTGACCACAAAAAATTACATTTTAGAGAGTGAGAAAATCAAGACTCACTTGCAAAGGGTTAAATAATTTGCCTAATCACCTACTGCCAGTCACACCTGCATGCAAACACTGTTTATTTTCCAACAAATATTTATGAGAAATATATGCATGTATGGATAAAGCAAAAGCTGTAGGCTTCACTATCTAATTTCAATGTTTGAGTCCAACTATGCCAATTAAAATAAAAGGTAAAACACAGCACCTCAAAGAATTTTGTACGACCCTGCAGAGCAGATATTTTTCTTTGTAAATTCTTTTGGCTTCTCCAAATACTAGCTTTGGTCTGGCCCACTGGGAATTCTGGAGGAGAGGTCTGGCTGTGGCAGCCTTAGGGAGTCTGTCTGCAGAGTTTCCTGTCCAGAGCAATGTTCTCCCCTTTGGGAGGTAAGAGAGACCCTGTGTCTGTTTCTCTTTCTATTTGCTTCCCTATAACCTGATGAGGCCTTTTGCCAACAGAGTTGAATTATCACCTGGTCAAAAACATAACAGTAAGCAGAGGGTGGAGGCTGGTAGAAAGCAACATGCAGAGAGATGGATGAAGAAAACAATACTCACTAGCTGGTGAAGACAATGGAACAAGGGTAGAAGAGCTAGCTGGAGCCGCTAAAGAAAGAAAAATAATGGTGAATAAAAAAACAAACAAAAAAGGGGAAAACAGATAATGGAAGTACATGGACAATGAGTGAAAACCGGAAGAGGCAATCCTGGGGTGTCAGTATGAGGAACTGAAGCAAATTAAAGTTGGGAAGGAAAACACCATGCTTGGAACAGGTGGCCAGCAGACCAGCAGAGCAGGGTGCTCCCTAAATTCAAACCATGAACCTGAGCGCCTGCCAAACCTGCTGTTCAGGTAAGGGAGCCAGGAGCAGCTGCAGACCTCAAATAAAAATGAGGCTGAAAATGAATAGCCAATTCAGCAGGACCAGCTGCCTCTACGGGATCAGAGGGACAGCAGGAAAGTGAACCTGGACCTCAGCTTAAGGTAAACATTTAGAGGAGACAAAGACTCCAGTTTTTTAAGTCACATTCTACATAGGTGTTTATACATGGGAACATATTTCTATATATGGCACATACTTAGAGCAAAACCTACATGCCTCACTCTCTAATTTTAATAACTAAATGAATGGAGATGCTTGTTCTACTTAAGGACGGGTTGAAGTTCATATAGATGATACTAAAACACCACTCTCCTCCAGAAAACTCCCTATAGAATGTGACTATTTTGATATTGCTATAGAAAGTGATGACAATAATGTTCAGTGTTTTTCTTGTAATCCAGAGAAAGGGAAGGTTGAGACTGGGCTAAACGAGTAATAATAACCAACTTTTTGCATGAAGGATGGTTAGCAGTTGTGCATCCAAGACATGGGGACACTGAATGGGTCTTTAGTTTTTCACTGGCAAATAGTCAGAATTTGTCTCAAGACAAAGTTCCCTTTGAGAGCTAGATGGAATTTTGGAAAAGCATCAACACATCAGCAACATTGCCGGAATGCCCATAGTTTACCTTTCAGATGGACACCAGATTAAACCAAGACACTGGGATCAGAGCAAGGCAGGCTGCTAACCTGTCATGACTGAATGATCTGATTCATTGGTTCCTTCAGGCAAAAATATATCTCTAATTCTCTCTCTCTCTCTCTCTCTCTCTCTCTCTCTATATATATATATATATATATATATATATATATATCTCATTTGCATAATTGTTAGTATTATTCTGGTAAAGGAATGGCATTTTACCTGCTTCAATCACATATAGTACAATGCATTTCATGTATATTTGCATGTGCCAACTAGGGGACAACACATGAAAGCAAAAATCTTGAGATGCTTCTTTCAAAAAGTAGAGACTTCTATGCAGTCTCTATACCCTGAAAGAAATAGTCTATCTTGCTTCATGGTCCACAGGCCAATTAAGAGGTAACATTCAGGCAATGAAATTCTCCAAGTGTGTTGTTCAGTCATGGAGAAAATGATTCATAATAATTTCTAGGTAGTTCTGACAGGAAAGCAGCTTCTCCCAAGGCAAACAGTGGTTATAAGCTTTCCACCTGAGTCTCTTGACACCATACAGACATTTGGCTTAAAAATATGTGAAATGGGAACATTTTCCCAGGTTAGAGTTTTATGTGTAGCTTCCTCACTACCTTCATACACATTTCTGAACTGCATACAAAGAAACCTCCAAACTGGTAAGCCGTGTTTTCTATCTAGCCGCTTGGAAACAGGAGGCCTTCATGTATTTATGACTTTTGCTAGCTTGATCTGCTCTTCCCTGGCTTTGATATATCCATGGCCCTGAATGTGGACAAGTCTATTAAGGAGCCAAGAAGGCAACCCCATTATTGAGATATCTCAATGAACTTCAAGTGATGAGTTAATGCTGAACATTGACCTCAACTACACCTCCCAACCCAGGGGTCTGGCAGCCAACACATCTGTCCAGCATGCCAGCCCCTATTGGCTTTGTGCTTTCTCTTCTTTGGGGCTGAGAGTACACTCAAGGCCCAACTTCAAAGTCATGGGGTTCCCCTGTACCCTTACAGTCTTACAGGATAGGGGTGCACTGTTAGTGATTGAGATGAGCCAGCATCAGAAACCAAAGCCATTAGTTCTTAGGTTCCATGCAAGCACACAGCTAAAAGGTTGGTGATTCTGTTTGAGTGCTTTCAGGCAACCTTTGTGCCTTCCTTGGAGTGGGAATCAGAATTCAGAGAAGGTCCTTTCTAGTTCCTAAAAAAGGGAGTCTATCACAGTGGTGGTATCATACTTTCAGGATGGTATCCTTTCTCAGGACAGGCCTGGGAAGCAGCAGGATACCCCTGGGGCTAAGCTTTCACAACAGTAGCTCTGGGAATCTTCGCAGGGAAAGGGGGGTGTAAGGAAAGACTATAGAAAAGTCTCTGCAGTGAGAGTGTGATGTTCCCACATGTTCATCACCTCACCCTGCTAAATGCCTTGAAGAAAGGCACCCTCAACTTGTAAGGCTATGCCTGCTTCTAATTATCCAAAAGAAGTTTGCTTTTTAATTCTCTAAACCATAACTTCATCTGATTGAGAACAACGACTTCTGTGCCAGGGCTGGGGTATTGTCCACCATTTACTTAGAACGGAGAGATGATGCCACCATCCTCCAAAGGGATTCTTGGAGTCTTGGTTAATTATCCATTTTCATACTACCAGACAACAAATGATGAGGCTGAGAGAGCTCCTTTAAAAAAAAAATTAAGAAAGGAAACTAAAAATTTTAGTTAAACCTTTACCTTTTCGTACTGACTTTAGAAATAGCCTCCGCTATTTAAAAATTCGTGTTTAGAAGGTCTGAGGTGATAATGAATGAAAACCACTGTGGCTTTTGAAGTCCAAAACACAATTACTCCTAATTCAGTACTGAGACTTCAGTTATTGGTGAGAAATTCATCAGCAGGCCTCATCCCAGCCTTCCCCTCTTCAATGTAACAAAGCTGGCACTCATTAATTGATCACACACAGAGGAGAAGCAATGCAAAGGTGCATTTGAAAGACCAATGGAGGGCCAATTTAGGGATCCAGGAGAAAGGAGCTCTCCCACCCAGAGCTGCCCCTTCTGAACTTGTTTCCGGCATAGCTGCCAGCCCAGGACATAGAGCTGTGAGACCTACCTGACAACTTCATTTCCCACTCTGATGCTTCCCTCCCCACCCCCAGCTGGTGCATTCAGACATCAACTTGGCTGAGATAGGAGATTTAGCACTTGCTCAAAATCTAACACCCACACTGAGCTACTTAGTTTTTGCTGTTGCTGCAATATTTCTGAATACATTTAAAAAGATATGTTTCCCTGAGTGCCTTTCAGGAGCCAACAGCTTTTTATGAAAAGAGTATGCCACTTCCTGAATACCTTTCTTTCTGAGTCTTTCTGGTACAACTTCTCACCATTGCTCTGAGAGATCAGTCTAGGAAAAAAGATCCAAGCCTTAATGAAGTGACGTGTGAGGGTGTCTACGCAGGCCAAGCGGGTCAGAGCATAGTTCCACTCCCAACTGCAGCAGACTAGCTCTCTGTTACTCTGCTCCCTGTGTCCTATGTTCATGGCTTCCATGATTAGAGTGTGAAAATTCTTTCCAGGTCTTTCTCCCTTGAAGGGATTTTCGAGTAGTGGTCTGATGAGACTGTGGTCACTTTTCTGGAATCCTGGCTACAGGCGAGGTGGTGCTACTGTGTGTTGTTCAGGGACCATCTGCAGACTTTCGCCATGCTTGGCTCAGCAAACATTATCTTTGCCACAGGGTGATCATCACACACAAAAATTAATAAATATATACAATTTCAAAAGACACGGAAGTTGCATGCTCTAAAACAGGTAGAGTGTTAGCCTCTTGGAGTCACCTACAGACGTTAACAAAGGTACAACTAGACTAAGGTCAGTGTGGTTAGGGCCCAGACAGTATCATCTACTTCAGCCTCTAGGGGACAAAAAAAGGGACCAGAACTAAATTAAGAACTAAGACTAGCAGATGTTAACACTATGGAAACAGGTAATGAGGTATGAAGAGGCACTTACGTGGAGGAGGGCTATCTGCATTTCCCATGGATGGAACACAGACGAAAAGAAAAGCCAAGAGACAGACCCAAGGAAAAAAAAATAAGATGTAAAAGAAATGAACAGAATCCGCAGAGCACATGGAGCTGGAAACTCAAATTATCAAATTATTTCAAAATGCAGAAAGAAGCAATCCCTGCAGAAGGAATGAGACAGCCTTTTCTACTTCTGGGAAGAGGCGAGGGGTCCCTTTGCAGGCCCATGGCTTCCAAGGCAGAAGCAAAGGATTCTGCCACGTGCATTTTGAATCCAGGGGCCAGGGAGAGCCCAGAGAGCTCTGTGGCCACTCAGGAATTGGGTTCTAGAGCTTCTTCTTCAGCTGGACAGACTCAGGAGCCCTGCAGGGCAGCAGCTCTGGTCTGTAGCAGAGTGTGCCAGAGCAGGGCTTGACCAGAGTCTGGCTGCTATGGGAAGTGAGGGCAAAGCCGGCAGGCATGATTTAAGGAAAGAGGGAATGATGGCAGGACACAGAGATGCCCTGCACAGAACCAGGAGAAGCAGCTCTCTGGAAAGGGCCTGTGAGGAGGGAGACCACGAGGAGTGCTCTGGATAGGGGAGGAAGGGGGAGGGCGAAGAGCAGAAGAGTCAGGGTCATGGCCGTCCTCTCCCCTTCTGCATAGCTGGGACTTGGCTCCTGCTCACATGTCCTACATGTGATCTAGTATCTCTACGGCATCAAAAAATCCCACCAAGGATTATATGAACGGTCACTCTGTCTCCTTCTTTAAAGTCACAGGGTGCTCAGGGGCTCTTTGGCCCTGTGTCAAAAAGCAGATCTCCCAAATTCCTCCACACACACTGCTGGTATTCTCCCCACTCTCGCCAATTACCATGTCCGTGGTACCCCCCTCCCACTCTCACCATGCCTGGCTATTATTCTGTCATGCTGGACCAACTACTAGGGAAGTGTCCCTGGCCCCTTTGAGAAAGAGGATGAAAGGAGTGTGTCAGCCACCACTGAGAGCTAGAGAACTAAGAGTTGGGGCCTCCATGAGCATCTGAAAAATAAAGGCTATCTTGTAAACCAGGCCAGCTCAGGGTCCCCAAGAAGAAGGTGGGCACGGGGAAGAGGCAGGACAGCCGGCTTTACTTACGGACTGGCTGTGTCTTGAACCCGGAGGCTGCGCTGATCTCTCCCAGCCCCTTGCCATTGAGGGCCGCCAGCCGCACCTCATATGTCGTCTCAGGCTTCAGGCCCACGATGGTGACGATGCCCTCCATGTTGGCTGTGGTGAGAAGAAGGGATGGATCACAAAAGAGTAGAAGCCTCCTGGTGACATGAAACTACGGAGAACAGTCTGGCAGGTCATCACAAAGGTGAACAGAACTGTCACTTGATTCAGCAGTTCAGCTTCTGGGCGGACGCATTTATGAAATCAGGGACTCGAATAGATACCTGCACACCCACGTTCACAGCAGCAGTCCTCACAACAGCCAAAGCATAGAAAACAAACCCCAATGACCGGTCACAGATGGATGATTGGACAAATGAAATGTGGTAAAGATGGATAATAGGATGCTGTTCAGCTTTAAAACAACGGATGAAAATCGGAGACATGGCATAACGTGGGTGAATCTCATATCATGTTAAATGAGATAAGGAGACATGAGAAGGGATAGGTATTTTATGATTCCACTTCTACAAGGTAATGAGGATAATCAGCTACCCAGAGAGGGAAAGTAGAAGGGTGGCCATCAGGGACTGGAGGGAGGAGGGGTCAAGGGGAGGTAGTGTTCACTGGGTAAAGAGTTTCATTTTGGAATGACAGAAAGGTCTGAAGCTGGACAATGGAGAAGACTTCATGCTACTGAATTATATACACTTAAAAATGGTCAAATGTAAATTTATGTTATGTATATTCTACCATAATAAGTCAAAAACCTAGAACCGATGTCTAAAAGAAAGACATTTTTAAAAAGCCTGGCATCTGTGGTAACATGGGACCAAACTGCCACAGAGGCAGTGTAAGATTTCAGAGTGAAGTTAGGAAGCTAAAAGGACTCTTTTCTTCTCCAATCCCGGTTACACAGTCATTCCTCTCAGTTCCCCCACCCCCACCCCCACCATTCCCACAGGCTGACAGTGTGATGGAGCTTCATGGCGGAACTAATCTCAGTAGAAGTGCAATGGGCCTCATCTCTGAAAGGCTGTGACACTTGATATGCCAGTCCATTCCCATTTCCACACCAGTTTCCACACACCAGACTAGGACTACACATTCCTACAGAAACACAAGAGATTTCACTGAGCTCTCTCAATTCAATCCCAAAAGGGGGACTGAGATGTAAATATACTCCATCTTCAAATGGAAGGGCTCAGACCTTTAAATTGCAGTAGCCTGGGGGTCCTTTTCTTCATCTTTAGCTTGGAAAGATACCATAGAATTGATTTTGGAGCACATTTGTCTCCCTGGCTCTGCTTATTTGGTTATTATCATAATTACATGACACTCCCTAGGTACAGACACCCACATAGGACTGGCCAGTGGCAGGTAGAGACCCTGAAGTCGCATAAGCAGAGCAGGAGTGCAGTGCACTCATGTGGTTGTGCTCAGCACCCACACAGGGTTTCTGCTTGGAATGCCACCAAGATGACCTCATTAGTCCTGGCAGGGTCACGGGAACTAAGCTCTGAGGGCCAGCAATTCTCTATTGAGATATGACCATGACCTCATTCTGGGCGGGACAGTTCCTAATTCCGCAGGACCCCAGATGGGACGGCAGGTGGTGACATCTGGCATGCTTCAGTAGGTAAGAGTGGCGTGCAAGTGTGTGCCCCCGGATGGAGTAGCAGGGGCCATACAACTCTACAGGAGAAGCCACGGCTCTGACTCACCTTCTTTGGCATCATACCACTTGACATGCCATGCTTCTTCTCCCAGCGCTCTCCATTCAGCCTTGTATTTGAGGATGGGCACTCCACCTGTGGCCTCTGGCTCATCAAACTGCACCTGTGCTGTGCTGGAGTATGGCTCCACCTGGTCGATGGATGGTGAAGATGGGGTATCTGTGGAGAGGACACATATGGAGACCCAGGTGAGCCCAGTTTGGCCCAGGACCACAACTTCCAATTCCAAAGCATGTCTCTCTTATTTCTGCTCACTCTTAGGAATCCTGTCACCTGTTTTCTGTCCCCTTCCTCTATGATTCTCTCTCTGTACATCTCATATTTAGATCCTTACATCTCCAATTGCTTCCTGATCATCTGGGTTTGTTGGCCCTGGCTTTCTTTACCCCACTAGACTGGTATTCTTGAAGTATCCTGGTTACCCTGATAAGGGTATGGGCAGTGTGGAAGCCACCACGAGAAGCACTTACCTGCTTGAACAAGGATGAATTCCAAAGACTCTTGTCCGATGCGGTTCACTGCAGTACAGTTGTAGTTTCCAAAATCATTTTCAGAGTCTGGGGTCACCTTTAGAAGGAAGGAGCCTTTGGGGTTACAAGGGCACCATGAAATGGCCACAGATGCAGATCTTTACTTACTGAATTAAATTAGACAAGAATAGAACTAGTAAAGCACAAGTCATTAGTACCAGCCCAGCCTTGAATAAGATAGGAGAAGAGCCCATGGATCATGGGAGAGGCTTTTTTTCCAGGCCCCAGTCCCAGTCTAGCTACATGGAGCACACGGATGCAGTTGAGAAAGGTGACCAGGGGTGAGGCTATTTCTTCTCCAGCCAATGGCTCTCCAGTTCAGGATGTGCCAGAGAAGTGAGACAGAAAACGTGAGTTGCATCCCAAAGCCTACCCATCATCAAACAGCCTCGTCTATCCAACCCTTTGCCCCTTCCTACTTACCTCCAGATAGCTGGCAGAGGGAGTGTTGTAGATCTTGATATTGCTAAAGTTGGAGCTTGGCAGTAACTGGCCATCTCGGAACCAGGAGATTGTAGCACTGGGGTAGGCAAAAACCTCACAGGTGATATTCACCTGGTTCCCCTCCCAAGTGTACACAGCCACAGGGCCCTGTAGCTTGGGGGAATCTGCAATAAATGACAATGACTATCAGGGCGACCACCACTATCTTGGAGTCCCCCATTCTGTCTCCTGGCACTGGGAAGATAGGCATGCTCTGAAGCAGACCTAGCACATGGTATAGGATAGGTCAGGATCACGTCAGTATTCCTGTGCACATGCACTGCATAGGAAGCCTCAGAGCATACAGAAGGCTTGTAAGAAGTCTAGGGATGGTGTGTGGCAGGTGGCTTTAGGACAGAACTCTGAAAGGGGCCAGGGAACATAGCAGAGCTCGGGGGTAAGCTTAGGTCTTGGGTACTATTTCCCTCTCTCATCCTGACCCTGAAGGGCTCTTCCCTCCCCCAAGTCTTTCCCCAGTTATTCCTCACATTGCACTTCAAGGTACATGGACTGGGAGTCCTGGCCGATGGTGTTGCTGGCAGTGCAGATGTACTCTCCAGCATCTGTGTACTGGATGCTCTTCAAGGTCAGGGATGACACGCGGGCGTGGCTGCGTACCACCATGTGCCCGTCCAGAGTCTGCCAGGAAGGAAAGGGGAGCATCAGAGTCCGAGACAAGGCAGAGGGCCATGCAGCTATAGCTATAGCTACGGGAGACTAGTTCATCACCTATCTATGATGAATCTCACATCCTCTCTCCTCTCTGGGCCAACATTAAGTCTGACTTTAGGTATTACCTAATGGGGGATGTTCCGTGAGCACTATGGGAACTTTGGTGTATCCAAAAAAGGAAATGGGACTTGATTATGTCAAATGACCTGAACTGTGTGCCAAAATTGGTTTGGGGAAAGGACAGACTAGGTCCCACAAGACTACTTTGGGATGAGTGAAATAGAGGTAAAGACCCTGGCCAGCAGAGGTCTCAGCAGCAATGGCCTTGCCTTGGGAGATCCTGGAAATATGCATCCCTGACCTTTCCTTCCAGGTTTCCCACCTCCAGCCCTATGTGCATGCTCATGAGATAGGAACTTCAAATGTGCTCACTGAAAGAAAGTATGCAAGAAAGCCATTCTTTGCAGATGTCTCTATTTCCTGGATACTTAAAAGCTGAAATTATCCATTAAAAAAAAAAGTCAAACAATTCAAAGCTCAGGATCTGCCGAGATAGAATTGGGGGTAACAGGATCCCCTCTCTTCTAAGAAGAGTGATAAAGAGAGCCCCAGGCAGATCTGAGATCCTTGACATCACAGTCTCCATTTTCTAGTTCTTAATTCTGCTATTGGCTTCCTGAGTCACTGGAATGACAGTGATCAGTCAAGAGAATAGCATATGATCCTAATGCAATGAATACTGGGATATCTCCAAGGGTTTTTAACTCTTGACATTCTAAGTAAAATGGTTGCCGTCTCTGAATGGGTGTAGGCATATGGCCCAAGTCCAGATCCTCCAGAAAGCTGGTAATCTGATGAAGGGGTCAGACTCCTTGAAGGCTGGGTCACCCTCATTTCAGGGTATGATATTCTGTAGAAAAGGACAGGACAGTACTCTGCATCTGGTATCTGATGGGCTTGTCTTTAGAGAATGAAAGAACACCTGGCTTCAGATTCTTTTAATATGCTGGTTTGCAAACCTAAAGTCCAGAATTGTAGTGTCTTATGGCAGCCTGGGAAGCCCAAAAGCCAGGCACCACTGGCCTAGCTCAGTAGATCTAGCACAAGAAGTTCCTTACACTACCATTAACAGAACTAGTCCTTTTCAGTCATCTAAGCCCCATCACATGTCATATCTGGAAGCTACAGCATGTTGCCGATAAGAGGAAGAAGGGCCAATGAAAATCATCACTGCCTCCTGCTATGAGCATGTCCCCTTCCTGAGACCAATGCCCTGGTGTTCCCATTGGGCCAGCAAATGTAGGAAGATGCTTGATTGAGAAGCTGCATCCCAAGAGATGGCACACACTAAGAGATGCCAGCAGACAGGTGTGGAGCACTTCCTAGATAATCAATTTGTTGGAGATACTGGATCCTGGGACTCCTTTTCTTGTGGGCTGCCAGTGCTTACTAATCTAACCCAGTGGCTATTTTTAAATGCCAAACAAAAATCTTTACCTGTCAGTCTGCATTAGGGCCATGGAGGGCATGAAGCCATTCCTGCAGGGACCTCTAAAGGCTGACCTGATCTGCCTCTCACTCATATTTCCCCCTATACCCAGCAGATACAGGGGACTTGAGGTCCATCCCTGGCTTTTCTGGTCATCTCAGTGATCTCAACCATGAGATGAACTATGATTCTTTGGACCCATACTGGACTTGTCATTGTGCCCTATGCCATAATCCCCAGGAAGCCAAGAGAACAATTCCATGTGAAAGATAGGGAAAGAAAGTCATATAGGTAAGAATGGGACAGTGATAGCAACAAAGCAGGGGGATGAGCAGTCATTACTTAGAATAATCTAGAAAACATTTAAAAAGAAGCTTAGAAAATGGTTACAGGGACAGCTGTACTTTTTTTTTTTTCCCTTTCAATATGGTCTCTTTTCCCAGGTTTCTCTATATGGAAATTTCTCTTGTTTAATGATGTCAACAGACCAGAAGGCAATCCTCTATAGAGAATTCTTATTTTGTAGGGGCTCACTGCAGGTGTGATGGTGGGATTATTTGCCAGATGCCCAGTTGTCCCTTTGAGGATATGCAGATAGGACTCCAGTGTGATTGGCCTCTCTCTCTCTCAATTGTTTTATTCTGGCATCAGGATAAAGCCCCAGAGTGCCACCTATAAGCCATCCAGACCAAAAGCCAGGCTGACTGTCTTGGCTGCCCCAGAGGGAGCAGATGAACTCTGGACAAGAGTTAAAAGATCGTTATGGAAAAAGATGCCCTTAAAAAAATCCATGAAGGGTGATTATAATTTTTCTTCCCATCAAAGCATTTTTGTCTCTCTTCTTATAGGTAAAAGTGCTAAGGCTTTTCAGAGCTTATTAGAATGAAAGTGGCCATAACCCAAACCTTCTTTTGCTCTCATCTGGGCTTATGGTTTTCATCTCTGAATGAGGTAAATAGGAGAGAATGAAACTTCTGAGCCCCTCGGGTGGCATTCACTTAGAAGTCAATTATGTCCAAAGTGCGACATTTCTGATAAAGACACTTTTGGAAAACAGAATCCAGTGTCTGCCTTCTTGGGAGTAAATCTATTATTTTCACTTACAATAACAATTCTTTTCCCAATACCACAAGAAGGGGAAAAAAAAATCTCTTAACAGCTCCTTAGGGCTCTCTGATAAATCTTAGCTCCTCCTCTTACCAGGTCTAGGTCAGAAGGACAGGAGGAAGATGTACAAGGCAAAGCAGAATGAGATCTGCAGCTACTTAAGACTGGCTGATAATTAACCCTTCTTCTCTTCCTTCCCCAATCCCAATGGGTCGACGACTTCTGGGCAATAAAACACCCAGCCTGTGACCGCACTAAGTGATTCTGGTGCCTCAGGAGTGAAGCATTTCAGTGTGGACATGTACTGAACCACAGTCCCTACGCCATCGGGGAAGGTAGGACACAAAGAGAGCTAATAATGAACTGGATTTGACAATGGCAGCATGTTCATGTGCAGAAACTAATATCAGTGCCTGGGGATAGGCAGTCAACTTTTAAATATTTAGCAGCATTAAATATTGATAACCATGACCTGAACACATGAGCCATGTGCTCTGAATAATTATCATTCCTGAAAGACTAAGAGGATAGGTTTACCAAATTAAAATACAGAATCTATAGGCTCTTCTGTGTTTATATTCTTATAGAATCGAAGACTCATTTGGAGAAAGAAGGCAAAAGCTATTTTAATAAAATGTATTTATAAATTCGATCCTTGAATGTCATCTAAAATAGATAGGTTTTTATTTTACTATTTTGGTCACTTAATCACAAATCAGGTTCTAAAAAAAATAACAGAAGTGATCATAAGGAGGGCCTGGGAGTGTAGCAATTAAAATCTAAAGGTTAATGTTTAGCCACAGTTTTCAAACTAAGTCCTACATTACCTAAACCAAAGAAAGTAAGCAAAGAAATTTCAAAGGCTAAATGCTACTGACTTTACAAAACATAAACCCATTTGTACCAAATCATTTCAATCTCATAAATTTAATGCTCTATAAAAGTAACAGACATGTTTAGCAATTTGGGAAAACCAATGAGAGATGTCATTTGTGTAGCTTTTGAGATGAAATGTGGTGTGATAATCTACCAAGACCGATCATTATAAAATAAGTGAGCAACAAGATGAGTTGAGCTGGAAAGGAAAGGGCTGAGCAGGTTTTAGATCACTAACTCTGTGACTTTATGGTCCAAAGCCACATCTACCATGTGAGAATAAAAACAAAAAATTCATTGTTTCAAAATGCCTGGCCTGGGCATTGGGGCAATTTATTTCTATCAATGTAATTACCTGGATGTGATTTTACCAGCACCAGCAAGAGAATAGGATCCAGTTTTAGAAAATAATAAGGATTTGTTCATCCACTCCCAACACAGCTTGCTTGCTCATCCTAAAAATGACACTATTGCTAAGTAATGTCTACCACTATTGACCTATTCTTTAATCTAACTAAAGTACTAATTAGTTTAGCGTGCCTGGTTATTAAACTGTAATGGTAAGTTAAACTGCAATGCTTTCAAAACTAAAGACTGGCTAGTGGTCAGGTAAGCTATACCTCTTGCTTCTCTGGTCGAGTCCACGAAGCCTGGAGAGAACAAGATATAAAACACAACAAGAAAGCAGTAAAATTTTACAACATGTTGCTTTAGAGAATTGATGTACCACACTGCATTCCGTGCACATGCAGCTTCCTCTTAATTCAGAACTTTTTCCAAGGCCCACTTTCAATGGTGTGTTTATTACCCAATTTAATTTAGGATTTAGCTTATGTTCAGCTTTTTCCCCCTTAGTACGTTAAAATTATACGTTTGTATAATTCAATCGTAAAGGCATTCCTAATCTTTGGTAGACACATATACATATACCAGCAGACATATTAGACTGCTTATGTTGCAAAACATCTTAAATATTCTTCATAGTACTGGATGACACTACTGGTTCTAACCACATCATCTAGAAATATTTAAGAGAGTAAGGTTTCCTCCTCTGAATTTTATTAGACAGCATATCACAGATATACTAATGCCATTTTATGCTCATGCACTTTATAATTCTTTGCATGCATTCTATTAAAAGTGAATTTTTTTAAAAAAGGGAACAAATAAAGGAGAGGAGAGGCACATTAGGAATGAGAGTTATGAAGTCTTTTGAGACTGTGGGTAAGGAAGCTTAAGGATGCTGGGAAGCTGTGGTAGGGCTCCAGTCCTTAAAGGCAGAGAATGCCCAGTTGGCACAAGGGCTCAAGTATGGACCATCTTCATCCAATATGGCATTCACAAGGAAGTAACCCAACTCGCAGCATAGAGGTTTAGGGCATTTTCCATTCTCATCTAGCTATTTTTATGTAACTAGCACTTGGGCATTTACTCTGCTTTTTCTGTTTTCATATTAGGAGTCAAAGACATCATAGCTGCATTGTTCTTTTTATTAGGTGGTGTGGTTGCCTGATTATCCCTGATGTTCAGATGGAAAAAACATACAGAAGATGCTAGAAACACAGCAATGCAATCAGGGAATGCAAATGAGTTAGCAAACAGTAAGAGTCTACTAGGAGCTTTGTGAGAAATGAGGATGGAAATACTGGGTTATGTCACATGATGTTGGAATGAAGGAGGAAGTGAGAACAGAGGAACACGAATAGACCAAAGTAACAGTGGGCCAACACGTCAGATATAGTTGCCAATTCCACATCACTAAAAAGCTTGTTTGAAACATGCCAGGGCTGTATCATATGGAGTTGTTTGTTTTCAAATGTGATTATTCTGTGTGTTTCTCCCAAGTCATTATGGTTCTGTAGCTTTTAGAATAAGTGGTTGCTAGTGACACGATGCTTCTAGTAGCCTAACTCTTACCTGTGTGACAGTGAATGACATAAATGTCTTGGACCTAATAATTTGGTGAAGGTGTGGCCCATATCAAGACACTCTGATATGCAAATATATACACTGAGGAACTAAGTTAGGGTACTATTAGTAATACTTCAGAAATTGTTAGTCCTAGGTTGTTTTAATATTATTTACATTTTTTTTGTCTTATGCCCAAGAAGCTTGCAGGATTATGTATACAAATTAAAGTGAAGCATCTTTCTAATTATCCTAAGCATTCCTTATTGTACATTTGCCCACACCGGAGATAAACCAGACTCTGACTGCTTTATGTTGTCACTATTTTCAGTAGTTAAAAGTAGGCTCTGGGCTTTTACCAAATGAGAAATTCTTCCTGGAGAAAAGAAAAGCTTCAGCTTCCAAAGAATCCAGAATTTCAAAAGGTCTCATTTGTGACATACTCTATCAGCATAAGATTCAAAGCTCACAAAAGGCCCTTCATTTTTTTCTCTCTTTTTTCATCTCAACACTTCACCTCTCTCCATTACTTAATCATGAAGGCTTCATACACCTTTCTTTATAATCATTTCAAGGTGTAGAGGTGTTCACATAAGCAAATGATGGATTTTTTTCCTGCCAGGATAGAGTATGAAAATCATCATCCCTGTATTTCATACAATGTATAAGTGGTGCCTGGAATTTAGTAACACTCATTCAAATACCTGGCAGGCAATGTTGAAGATAAATCTGTGTAGGATGAGTAATGAAATGATGCAGATGCACAAACTTTCTGAAATATCAATCACAAAGAGCTTCACATATATCATCCAATTGACCTATTATGAAGTTCACTTTTTTGTTCAAGATTACAGTGACCACTAAGTAATGGACCAACTGTCAGACAATTGATCTACCTTAATGATCTGAATGATCCAAACAATTAGACACAGTCTAGCTATTATTGTTGAACTCAACCAACTCAACTGGCTAAAACTTAATAATTATCATTCTCAAGTCAGTGATCAAACTCAATTCAGAGATATGATCAAAGATAGGGTGTGACATTAACTACACTAGGTTTTGCTTGCCCCATTCCTCTTCCTCTTCCTCCTCCTCCTTCTCCTCCTCCTCCTTTTTCTTCTTTTGAATTTTATGTTCAATGTATGGAAATGCATTCTGCCAAAGTACATTCCTTCTTTTTTTAGTGAAGAACACTGATATTCCATTAGCAAGTCACTAAGGGTTTATGGGTGATGCATAAAGACTTCTCTCACTTGCCTCTTCTCATAGGAAAGGAAATATCAGACTGAAGCAGTGATGCAAAAACACAGAATAGCTTTAATTTGCTTATGTACTGTATTATAAGAATCATTAAGGCTTCCACAAAAGTCATCAGAATCACAAGAGAGCCCTGTGACTTCGTGGCACCAGTTACTTCACCTTCTAAGCTACCTACAGGGAGGGTAGCCATGCCATGGAGGCACTCTAAGGGCTCTGAACTTGACCTTGTCCCATTAAACATTTTTATCAGTGACTTGGACAAAGATGTTTCAACTAAGTGTTCACACTAACTGGGAAGCACTAGCTATTACCAACATTAGATGACAGCTGCATTGGGAAGGCTACTGAATTAGCTGCCCTTGGACTTATGCTTAGGGCTGGAGTCCCCAATGACAGCTCTTGCCTAATTACTTTTAATATACAAATATAAAATAGGGGGGTCCCCATGCACTGAGATGCTCTGACTCTCAGATTTCTAAGGACACTTCTGATGAAAGTCAGATCTGTCTGGTTGAAAAGACTGTGAGGAACAGACATTCTCAAGCCAGGGGATATTTGACAATTTAGTAATGATTAGAAGTGGCTCCTGACATTTAAGGGGGAGAATGCCAGTGATGCTAACCATCTTACATTACATAGGACAGTCCCAGTGAAGGAAGGGTCTCCTAAATTGCCATAAATGACCCTACTGAGAAAGACTCGGCTACAACATATATATACAAATTTTTTAACAGAAATAAATATAAAATTCTGCATTGTTGGTTAAGCAATCAGTTGCATGAGAACAGGATAGGGGATATATGGTTTAAGTGAAGTTCATATAAAAAAAAGACTTGAGCATGTTAGTTGACCACAATCTCAATATGAGGCAACAGAATGAGGACACTGCTCAAGGGCTAATGCAACTTTGACTGCATAATGGTGTCCAGATCCAGAAGGCAACAGTCCTACTGAAGTCTGCATAGGTCACACTGGGCATGGGACTAGTGAATTGAAGCCACTTAGTACAGGACAACTAGAAGGGTGAAGGATGTGAAAGCCATGACTGGAAAAACAGTGAAAATGGCTGGGTGTGTTAAGGGAAGAAGGGCAGACCAACTAGAGGGAAGTCCAAGTGCTATTTCAGTGACTCAGATGAAGGACTGAGTGGCAGAAGTAGGGAACACTGGGTACAGGAAGAGACAAGGAAGAAGTCCTTCTGATCATCAGCGTTGACCAATTGCCCTATGGAGGACTGATAGTGTCACCATTTTAGACAGGGTCCAGAGTGACTTTTCTAGCAGGGATGCTAGAAAAAGGAGCTGGTGAGATTTCAGGACGTGAAAAGGTGCCTTCTGAACATCCATGGTTTTGACGTGCCATGTAATCTGACTCAGGCTTTTACTCTACCATTAGATACGACTGACTATTCTGACCTGTCTTGTGTATCATCCTGATTTTAAAAAGAAAATTGCTTTCTCCCACTCCTACAGATCAGGGAGTCTAGTAGTCTCAATACCTAATTATATATAATGCAACTTTAGTTGGAGAACATGAAGAGGACTGCCAAAATAAAAGTAAAGTTTATTTTTGGAAATCTGACCTGCAGCTAAGTAGGCTGTAAGGTGGATATCATACCTCTTTTATGTCACTATTTAATGGATAGAAATGGCAAATTTTATTATAGAGGATTTCATTTAGGACAATTCCTATTAATCTGGTATGTTACATCATAGGCTGATCTGGAGGACTTGTTCTAGACACTGGCTGATTTGAGCTCCAGTAATGTCACTTCAAGTAAATTTGCAGATAGTCACCAGCAAAGGAAACCACAACACAGAGCATGTGGCTGGGCATGAGTGATTACCTCAGACTAAGACTGTTGGTCTATACTTAAAACTGAATTGTGCAAGCCTGGTACCTGCTAGGCCTTTGTTGGATTCTTTCAGTCTCAATATTTAGTAAATGTGAGTGGGTATTAGTTTCTATCTTTTATCATTATATAAAAATGAAATCATAGGTTCAAGCCAGACCTGACAACCTATTAAAGAACCTGAGATAGGCACGAATCTTAATAATCCTTCTGGTCTGATTTGGATGTTGAGCTATTCCTAGAAAAGATAGAGAATTTAAAAGCATACAACTAAGAGAGATATTTCTGTCTTTCACTGTAGGACAAAGACATAGGCTGGCTCACTCTGAACAAGTCCACTGTTAAGCTGGGTGCAGAAAGACCTGCCAAGTATCCATCCTATTGATCAAACCCTGAAATGTATATTTAATCTGCATAACACACAATGGGAGCTGAAATCTTAGCTAAGGGTTCAATTCCATTGTTGATAAAGAAACTATTCAAGTAAACACCACATTTCTTCATCTAGCTGGTTTTTGCATATCAAACAGCATATGTGAGTTTCAAAAATATTTAGCAGTTCTTCAGTTGAGTTTTTGTTACGTTGAATTCAATTCTGGATGAAAAATTGCAAAAAAAAGGGGGGGTGCTATTTGGAACAGCAATCCCTGATCCTTTTGATTTAGCTTTGTTTTCTATTAGCAAGACAGAATTCAGTTCCTCAAATACAAATTCCAAATTTAGCTCTGGTATTTCACACTCCTCTTTTTGGGCTGTAGCTGAGTTTATCCTGTTTAGGGATTTCCTTTCAGCAGGCAAAAGAGTGAAGAGATCTATCATTTTTGACATTCTGGTCAATAAGCAATCCATTTTAAATGTTCTTTAAGGCTAAGGCCATTACTCCCGAACAGGTAACAAAGCTTTGGTCCACTAAAATGAAGCCCATTACTACAGGATATATGAGAGCAGGTTGGACAAGTGCCATAAGAGGATTGAAGTTGCTTCAAAACCAGGCTTTTTCCTCCTTCTGGTTTCAGCCCACTCAATAACGAAGGGCTGCATAATGGGGGAAGGTCACCTTAATTTTTATATATTGTCAATAATAAAGAGAGCTTTCCGGTGGCCTATAAATCCATGTGCTTTAAAGCTACATTTTTTAGTCATTTAAATTTCCGAGGAAGTTTACTATGATGTTCTTAAACCCTTGGTGAATAAATTGCAGAACCCAGGTACCAACATCATCATCATTTAGAAACTGCTAATTATTTTTGCCTTTAGAACAAAATGAAATCCAAATGTGACCAAGAATACAGGCAGACACAAAGGCAGCCAAGCTTTTGTGCATATGGTGCATATTCAGCATGAGTGTACAAAACATGAGGGAAAAAATAGGCTCATTTTGGTCCCTGTTACATTCAGGCGACATATCCTTGGGTACTCCAGAGATGATAATATTACCTGGTATACAGGGATCTTGCTTCTCCTTGTTCCTCAAAGATCCACAACCCTGGGTTTGAACATCACTATTGCCTCCTTTCCAGAACATCTAACTTAACCATGCCCACTACCATAGCACCCCTGCCCATCTATTCAAGGAATTGTGCCCTTTTCACTGCAAGGGATGTTGAGCAGGCCATGTCCGGGCAGGCTGGGGGAGGGAGGTTGCAGGACCTGACTGTGGCCTCTGGTGACTATATACCCCCCTTCTGGCTCACCAAAGAGAACTGGGCAGGGCAGACTCAATATGCATCAAGTCTGTGTTCCATGACCCTGAAACTCTTGGGCAACAGTATACCTTTTCTTCGCTGCTGATGTTTCGGGTGGAAGTTCTCCAAGTGATGGAAGGAATGGGGTCCCCCGAGGCTTCACAGGTAAGAGTGACCTGCTCCTCCAGTTCCATGGCTGTCTGATTCTCTACATAGGTTATTTTGGGTTTTGCTGAAAAGACAAAACATTTCTATGAGTTTATACGATTATTTAGCTTTCTGGGTTTAAATGATGATGTGTACCCCTTCAACAAAGGTTATCTATTTACTAAGTGTAAAAACCCATTCTGGGTATTGTAGAAAACACAGAATAGATTCCTGAAGGGTTCAACAAAAGAGGCCTAAGACAAGACACAGATCATAGTAATAAAAACATATCCTGTGTAGTGAGGTAGAGCAACAGCAGCAGGGACCAGGGAACAGAAGAAGATGGTGGCCCTGGTCTAAACCTTAAGAGTCAGCTTTGGGGCTGGGTCATGAGATTTTCAGCTAATGCCTATGGGGTGAAGATGGAGTCATTCCAAATGTAAAAATCTGCTTGACTTAAAATGAGAGCAAGGACATGTGAAGAGAGAGCTGGGAAGAGAGGAGTGCAGCCCGCAGCAGCAGAGAGAGGCAAGGCTGTATTGTTAGAATTTCCCATTTTGGCTGGTGGAGGCCCATGGACAGCGTTCAATCAGGGCAGTGCCAAGATCATTTATACTTCAAGGTTAATCCACAGAAAATTCAAGGTGGTTTAGAATGGAGAAGACCTTGATGTAGGGAAACCAATTTGGAAGCTCTGGCAATGACACAGATGTGAGGTAACACTGAGTCCTGAACCTGGTAGATTTAGAGGGAATGGAGACCAAAGGGCAGCTTTGAGAGATGGGGAAGGAAGTTTCAGAGGAAGTGGAAATGAACAGATATAGGGCAAGCAGGGATGGAGGCTAAATGGCTCAGTTCTTAATGACTAGGAGGTGTTAGCATTAACCCAAGTAAGAATGCTAGGCGAGTAAGTGTCGGGGGCTGAGGATGGCAAGGAGGAGTTGAGATGAGTTCATTTTCCAAATGTTTGGGTAATGCAAGAAACACAAGCATTCCAAAAGCTGAGTTAAACGTTAAAACATTAGAGAAAATTGAATTTTCCCACTTTAAAACAATTATACTCTGAAATTGCTGAACCTTCCGTAGAAAAAAAAAGATATAATACTGCACAATTGTAACTTATTTCACTAATAGAGACAAAGGCCGGGCTAGAGAGATGAATGAAAAGAGCAGCAAAATCAGAATTATAGATAATTTTTGAAATAACTACATTTTCTTTATATTTAAATTCATGCAGGAACTGCAAGTAGAATAGTTGACTACTGCCTGTGTTTACCCTCCAAGCTGAGGTCCTTGATGTTTTGATAAACAGAAGACAATGACAGAGCTATATTTTTTTGTTTGTTTGGAGCAAATGCCTGCTTCCATATAAAATCTATATAGCTCAAATATCCTCCTGAAGTTAATCTGTACTGACAGCTTGCTTAGAAAATTCTTTTTGGCTAGCTGGCACATAAGGACATCTTAATCCAATGTGGCCAAATGATCACAAATTTGAGTTGATGGAGCCCAGGTGAATGAAGTCTTCCAGGAGGAAGATTTTGTGTCTATCTTGATAGATACGAATTTGCAGGAGGTTACAACTTGGAAGGAGTAGGTGCTAAGTGCTGCCGAATAGGAGGTTTTAGAGGGTGAGAAAAAACAAAGCAAAATAATGTTAAAATAAAATAAACACAAAAGTAAAGAGGCAAGTAAAATAAAATTGACTCTCCTATACTGTCAAAAGCACCCTAAAAAGTAAAAGAAAAACAAAATAAAATGTGGCCAAACAACTGAATTCTCTAAACTGAACAGCTATTTGGGGCCTGGAGATAATCCTAGGTCGGCTAAATTTCTGGCCTCTTGAAACGCAGATTTTGAGATCTAGACAGTGTTTGCTGACCTTCCCCTGACCCAGAGCACTTTGTCCTGGCAGCAAAAGGTTAACAGAAGACAGACAAAGGTCAGTTGACCTCTATTAATATTTGGTCTTGGTGGCTCCATTTACCAGATGGTTACAAAGGGTCCATCGTGCAAGACCTCAGAGAAAGACGAACTATATTTTTATTAAAAACATTGTTAACAAAGGCTAATTTTGTGTAGTCTACCGAGAGCTGTTGGAAGGATGCAACACTGGTTGCTTAATCCCCTCTTAGTTCAGAAGCAGGGCCACTGTCAATACAGAAAGTTTGGAATACTGTTTTGGAGTAACAGGGATGCTCTCAATATTTGCACTGGGACAATGGGCAAACAGAAACAGATGTAGGTTCACCCTGCTTAGAATCCCTCCCCTGGGATTCCAGCACTGAGAGAACTTCTCTCCAGGTTTTATCTTCCAATGGTCCTTGCTGCATCTTAATTATTAACTTCTGTTGTGGGTCCTTGGCTTTTGGATCCTCCTGTGTTGTCCAACTGCCTCCCTAGACTTGGTGTCTCAGGCTGTTCCACTGCATCTCTCCTTGGCCATCCTGTGAGTTTTACAAGCATGTCCATTTCTCTGCAGTCTGCTGCTAAGAGTCAGCCTTGTCCACTCCAATCCCAGTCCAGGCTCTGGCAACCCTAGCCCAAGAAGGACCCTGGGGAGACCTGAGGCCACTGCTTTCTTTGAACAGAGACCTGAACAGGCTTCTGGGGAGGTGTGACCAGGTACATCTTCCTTTAGGCCATCGCTGGTCCTCTTCTTTCACCCACAAGTGCTGCTTTAGTCACGGGGGAATCAGCTAAGCAAGGCTGCTGCCCACCAGTGAACTTGGCTCAGTCCATGGCAGCATGAGAACTCAAGAGCATTAGCATGAGCATAATAACCTGCAGAGACAAAAATACTTCTTCATAAGGGCCCATGAGAGAGGAGCAATGGAAACTCACTGCCAGATTTCAGGATGATAAAATTAAAGGAAGGTGAAAGCAGCTTCTAGCTGATAATGAGGCAATGCATGTTAGAAAAGATTCTTTTTCTTATGGAAAAAAAGATGTCATTTGGACATGATTGCAGCAGTGTCTAATTTAGTTAGGTCCCTTATTTCTGATTTCCATCCCCTCCTGAAGCTACAAGACTACTGACTTCATCCTTACGATCTAAGCTACAGGTGTTCTTTCTTCTTCCTCCTCATTAGATTCCACTACTGATGAGGAACTGGCCTACTTCTCCCCAGTAGTGGCCCCTGATGGCAACCCAGAAGGAGAAGGAAAGAGAAAAAAAAGAGTAAAGAAAGATGGTGCCCTAATGAGCTGTCCCCTCCCCTCCTGGTTCCCTTGCTCCATATCAATGGGGGAGAAGAAAGGAAGGGAATTTAAGAAGGTGAAAGGGGATGGAAAGAGGTGTATATGAGGCACCCTTTACTTCAAGGAGGCTGTATGAACTTCCTTGGGATATTCCAGAGGATTCTCATTTTGGATTCAACACAGGTCTATGATCTCCTTACCTGCCTTTTTAGGAGCCAAGCCACCTTTCCTCTGGTTGCTTTGGTCTGCCTAATCTCCACTCTCCCAGTTTTAGTCTTTGGAAACTAACTGTGTGTGTGTGTGTGTGTGTTGCAGAGGGGTATAGGCATTGAGGATTGAGGGTACAGAATGGGAAGGAAGACAAATCTTATTTGGCCTCCTGGCCCATTGTGTTTTCCTTGCTCTGATTCTTCATTCTATCATGGCCCCTTACTCACCTCCCATCCTTCCTTTCCTGGGGCAGCTGCTGACACGAGAAGACTTGGGGGAGGAGCCAAGAGCTGTTCTCAACCAGCCACATTAGAGCTCAGTGTGTAGAGAGTCTGTGAGGAGCATGGTGGTGAAGACAGCACCTCATCCTCATGTTACTCACCATAGCCTAGGCAATTCAGATGGCGTGACTGCCACTGGCATATGGAATTGGGCAGTAGTAACCGCCATTGTTAGTTCAGGGAATGGATTTACAAGCCAGCTGCCTTGATTTGAATCCTGGATCCTTGGAAGGGGCACCTGATTTCTCGGTGCTCACTTGTAAAATGGGGATAATAATTAAAATCTACCTCATAGGGTTGTGATGAGAATTAAAAGAGCTAATTTATGGATAGTGCTTCATGATGCTTGGCACAGTATAAATGCTTATTTGGGTTGGGTATTATTATTAATACTTTAGAAGAGTAATGTCCCAAAGCATTTCCTAAAGACAAGTGATGATGACATGATTTCAGGCTCATCTTCTTGCCACATAAGTTATGCTTCATTCCCATGGATTAATGCCTGGTCTTTGACTTATTCAAATTCTAGTGCCTTCTGTATGCTAGCTACTGTCTTAGGTGCTGGGGCCACGTCTGTGAGCAAAATAGACACAGCCTCTGTCCACAAGCAGCTGTCATGTAACACCATGATGCTTTTTCTGCCTCTGCGGCTGCACAAGAATCCTGAAATGCTTGCCCTGCCCTCCTTCACCTGTAATTCCCACCTACAAAACAACACATTGTTTCAATGACTTCTCTCATTTTTATCACATGAGATCAGAGATCATTTTTTCCTATAAAACTTCGGATATATTGGTATTATGATATCATTATAAGGGTTTGTCATTTAAAATTTCTGCATTGGTCATCTACACTAGCCCGTGAACCTACTGATAAGAAAAGAATCCCTGTCATTCATCTTTGTAAACTTTGGCTGGGCCTACAGCAGTCACCTGGACTGACACTATCTATTATCATTTAGAAGCTTGTATGTTTTTCTCCTTTGTGCTTCTTAGAGTCAAATTCTACTCATCTCTGTAGCTCCTTTGTCTAGCAGCATTGGTGTTCAATAAATATTTGTTAAAAGAAAGAAAAACAAATGCATCTGTCTTTTCCTACAATATGGAAAAACTTAATAAGATCAGAGTGACTGGGGAAGATTAGTCTGAATTAGAGAAAAAATTGCCCAGAATGTTTTTTTTATGAAGTTTAACTTTCACTCTCAAGTACATACAGGTACCTTGAACAAACCAATAACTTATTTCTAAACCCAACCATCAGAGATGAATAAATAAATTTCATCTATGATTATGCAGGACCATTTGCATATAAACACTTGATTCTCAACTGCATGTTTACATATTACACAGTTCTCTTGATCAGGTTAAATAAGCAGTCCCAAGGCTGGTTCCCAGATACACATCTCAACTACCTGGGAGGGACAGATCCCAGAGCTGCCCCTCAGGCACCTGTACCCCAGCAGCACCATCTACAGTAAACCAGCTTATCGGTATTTTTTTAAACAGATAAGCAGACAAAATTGAGACCTATCAAGGTAAATATCTCATTGCAACAAATTCATTTTTCAAGGTCACGTCAAAATGTATTTCAGTTCTGAAGTACATGGAGGTTTGCTGAGTTTATAAAGACAAAGTGAGGGTTCTTTTTCTGACTATAACAGTTTCACACAGACCAGTGAAGGCAGCCAAAAAGGTGAGGCGGGCTGCCAGTCATTCACTGACATTTACCAAAAGTCTGTTATGAGTCTGGTGCTGCTTAGGGCTCCAGGGACATAGTGCTGTGTAAAACAGGGAGCTCTCTGCCATCTTGGAGTAAAAGTGCTAGTGGAGCTGGGATATTAACAAATCCCAAGATAAATACATAAATGAGATTAGTTCAGGTATTGATAAGTTCTTAAAAAAGTCACAATTAAGTGATGAAAAAGATTTTTGGGGTAAATCAAAGTGGCAGCAGGGACCGAAGAGCCGTAGTAGCCAAGGCAGTGAAGGAAGGACTCATGGAGAAGGTGTGTTGGCACTGATATCTGAATAATGAGGAGGAGAAGACAGCTTTGAGCAGCTCCCAGGGAATGATATTCTAAGCAGAAGAAATCAAATGCAATGTCCCAGAAATGGGGAGCAAGCCTGGTTTATTTGAGGGACAGAAAGAAGGCTGGTGTGGTTGGAAAGCTTCCTGTAGGGAGCAAAGAAAAGATGAGCGTGGAGAGAAAAGGCAAATGCTTGGTAGGTGTGGATTTTATTCTGGGTACAGTGTGAATTTTATTCTGAAGGATTTTGAAAAGTGCAATGGCACTTAGGCCATGCTGGCTGCCATGAGGGAAAGACACTGAAGGCGACTAAGGGAGAGAGGCAGGGAGATGGCTATGAGGCTATTGAGCTGGTGAGGTGAGCTTGATGGTGGCTTGGACTAGGGCTTGGATGATGGGGCTGGTGAGAAAAGGTTGCCTTTGGGATATAATCCAACTAGAGTGGACAGGGTAAGAAGAACTGCAGCAGAGCAGTGATCTTGACCCGCACTGTGCTTACCAAAGACTTTGAGGTGTATAGATGCATCCTGCTCGCCGGCCTTGTTCTCAGCAATGCAGACGTACTCGGCTTCATCGTTCTTGTCCACCTTCCTGATGGTCAGCTCAGAACTGTCATCGCTGAAGATGTACTTCTCGTCGTCTTCCTCATTCTCTATCTGTTCCCCATCCCTACAGAAACAGAAATGCAAAGGACTATGATTTTGACCACAGAGAGAGTTAAGATGTTTATTTTAAATTAGTTTCCATAAAATGCAGCTTGAGCCAATGGGAAAGGGCCAGTTTTCACAAGAAGGGAGGACACCAATGTCTACTTCCACGTATACCTTTGATTCCTCCACTGATCCTCTGACTCTGCCCCCTAAACTGTACTCACAAAGGCTTCAAAGAGGCCTCCTTCTGGACCTGCCCCTTTAAGATTGAAAATGAGGCAATAATCCAATGCCCAAGACAAGAGGACCTTACAGAAAAGAATCTAGTCTTCTTGGAGATGATATTCCCAAGAAGTCCGTATGCAGGTCACTGAAATGCCAACATGGAGTGGGCCCTATGATGCCCCTTCTCTTCTAGCCCATGACCCAACACACCAGCCAGTTTCTTACTTTGTCCAGCTCATGGTGGGCTCTGGGAAGCCTTCAGCATCACACACCAAGGTGACAGACTGGCCCAGGTTGGCAGTGGCATTCACAATGGTCTGCCTGGCCTGGACGGTGGGCGGCACTAAAGGAAAGAAAGATGTTAGGCATGGTTGTGAAAACTTGGGAGAACCCAATGGCTGGAGAAGAGACACTTCAGGGGTTCCCAGGTCAGGGAGTTTCTGCCTGTGGATCAAGAGAGTCCTGGGTGGCTGCAGAATTAATGTAAAGGATCAAAATTTAATGCACCAAATAATTAATGGAAATGGAATAAAAAGTTTATCCACAAACATGAGTTATTGTTTTTCAGGCGTTTAGAAGCTATATTATCACATTTTACTCACGTTAACATGATATTCGATTTATAGTAATTATTTGTCATTATATATGTTCTTAGTCAATGCCCACTAAGTAACTACTACAGTCAGTAGAATTTATGTGAAGAAGGATTCTCAATACTGGAAAAAAACTGGAAACTACTACCATTTTGAAGTGCACCAGCTCAAAACCAAAGAGTGACATTTCTTTGGAATTGTCATAAATAACTTTGTGCACAAACTTGTTTTTACCAAAGGAATGAGAGGGGGAGAGTTTGGCAAAAAATGCATATCAATAGCCAGAACAATTCAGACATGATTTACTTATTTTCTTAGTACTGACATTATAATTTCCTGTAAACATCTTGTAAATGTCAGATCGATTCCACGGGCGTGTTTATTTGACTCTGCAAATTAAGATTAATAAGCCCATGGACCATGATTCTGACTATTCTGAGACCTGAATTGATTGTAATATTTTCTCTTCACATTGAACCAAGGGGACTAGCTTCACAATTACTGTAACATCAAGGACAATGAGGATGAATATGAACTTATTAGTAAGCATGAGAAAGTTTCCAATGCTGTAAGGCAATGAAAGGCATTCAATAACTGCACTGAGCACGCCCATAAATGAGGGGAGACCCAAAAGGCAAGTATATTAAAAATGAAAAAAAAATACCCTACAAATTATGCTAGGGAAGGCATTCAGGAAAGATGGATGGTTGAGTCAGGACAGAATTTATTTTATAGAACAAAGAGGAAGTTATAGGATTTGGGAAACCAAGGTTGTAGCCATGGAGAGAACAGGAAGAACAGATCTCCTCACCATTCACAATGACCTGAATGTCCTTGAAGTTGATCTCCCCCCGTGCCAGGATTCTGCCCTCACAGCGATAAGTGCCCTCATCTGTTTTCTTGATTCCCCGGATCTGCAGGTAGTTGTTGGACAGGACTATGAATCGGACTAGAAGAGACAAGAGGCAGGTTCATCCAAGGATCAGTCAGAGAACTTTGGAATCTGCAGGCAGGGAGCTGAGCCTCTTTCTTATTTCTTAACTTTGCATTATAAGGTCGGTCTTTAGGCTCAAGTAAAACCAATGTGTTTGTCGGTGTGAAATATAACAGAGAGCAAAAGTGTATTGGAAATGTATATTTGCTCTGGGGAGAAAATCGTGTGCCTGAGTATACCAGCTAGGGATACACCAGGAAGCTGCGTGTGGGTTTGGGGACACCAAATCTGAGTTCGGATGAGAATCCTTCAGGGACTGGGAGAGGTAGAAACCTAGATAACTTGGTGGCCAAGGGAAAGGCAACTACCAGGAAATTGAAGTCTCACCGTCTTTTTTCAGGATGACATCTCGGCCTTTGTGTTTCCAGATGATGGTTGGGGGGAGGGAGCTGACCACGTCACACACGATCACGGCATCTTCCCCCTCCCTGAACTCCTGTGGGGTTGGTGCATTCTTGAACATGAGCTTCTCTGGAAAATGAGTAGGAGAGTGAGGAGGACAGCAGGTTCTCCCACAAGATCCCTTCCCACTAGAGCCACGCTGTCTGGACTTGAGTCTCAGGCAAAATTCTGCCCATATATACTGTTGTACAGGAGGGTGTCCCACTCAGTACTTGGTCACAGATATGAAGGAGAGCAGCTAGCCCAAAGGTGGTAATGGAGCGGGGGATGTCACCATTGTTTAGCAACCAATATCTACTGAGGGCTGAATTTTTTACTTTGTTCAGATCAAGGATTTTTTTTCCATGTGGGATGATGCTAATGAAGGGTAATGCATATTCTACAATGAGAGGTGACACCAGTCTTTTCTTTGTCTCTTATTCTTGTGCCTTCCCCCAGCCTCACTCCATCTTCCCTACAGCAGAGAGAATTCTGAAGAACAGAAGGAGAGCACACTTAATGGCAATAAATACTGTGGCAATCAATATGGTTCCATTAGCTGTCACCCACAGTGACTTTGGCTTACGGGACAGAAGTATGATAACAAGGTAATGAGATGCCACCTCCTGACCGGGTTTCAGCGGCAGTGGGAATGGTGTGCACTGAATGGCATCCAATGTTCCAATAGTGATCCCACACCTACTTGGGCTTTTGAGCTCTATAATTAGCAGGGAAAAGTGGAATAAGAAGGGAAAGCCTGAACTGTTCACCCTTCGGTCAACACTGGGGGAGGCACAGAGGAGTCCATAATAGCTCTCTGGAAACTGTGTAATTTGAATTCAGAAAACAGAAGTCAGTAGAGGGTAGCTGTGACCAGTGGGAATCAGGGTTGTGGGTTGGCCAAGGACCAACCGAGAATGTACTGGAACACTGAGCGAGGCCAGAAAAGACTCAGGAAGAAAAAAACCATGGTGTCAGGCCCTCACTGGTCCCGTTATGGCCATCTCATGCTTTCTACTACCCATTCATGTGTCTTGATGACCAAAGAAAAGAAAGAGAACACAGAAGAGAAAGGCCCTTACGGAAGATCTTCACATTGACGGTGGCCTCGGACTCGCTGCCATCCTCACCAGTGACCACACACTTGTAAATGCCGGCGTCATCGATATTGGCGTTGTAGATGGTGAGGGTGGAGGAGGAATCGTCGTTCCACACCACCGAGATCCGCTGCTGGTTTGGGCTGAGCTTTTCTCCGTTGGGGGAGAACCAGGAGATGTCCTTATCTTTGGCATCTCCTGCCACTGAGGAGGAAGAGATTATATTCAAACCACTGAAGTAAGAAAGACTAAGTTCCCTTCAGAGTGACAGTGGCAACACAGTAATGGCCACTGAATAACCAACCAAACAATCAAGGTTGGATGGCCAGGCAGCGATGTCCATTTATGTCAAAACATGGCTCAGATCTCCTCTGGCTTCTGTGCTTAATTATTATATACATAAAACCTCTTAGCGTATTTGGAAAGCTCAACAATCACTTGTTCTCATATTGCTTTATAGTGGTCCTATCCTCCTATCCTTAGTGAGGGAAGACAAATTTGCTGAGAACCTACAATGAGCTGGTCGCTAAGCTAGGAACTTACATGCCTCAAAGAATGGGAAGTAAATTAGTTGGTATATCTAAGATCTGAGTTAATCTGAACCAGTTGATCAGCCTGTGCCCTGCCCCCCTTTTTGGTGCCAGGAAATGAAGCTTAATCAGTGCTTAATCAGTGACCTACAACTCTAGCCCGTTTTATTTTTTGAGACAGAGTCTTACTAAGTTACTTAGGGCCTCCTAAGTTGCTGAGGCTGGCTTTAAACTTGTGATCCTCCTGCCTCCGCTTCCCAAGCTGCTGGGATTACAGGTGTGCACCTTGGTACCTGGTGATCAGCTTATTTTTGAGGGATTCAATTATGAAACAAGGATGAGACCCATTGTCTGGTCCAGGAGTAAAGATTCAAATCACTTAGAGTCTAACAGCTATTGTACCCACTGACATGGTGGCCCTTTCAGCACCTCTTGCCTCAGCCAGACAAACTCATCTTAAATGCTGCAAAGAAGCTGGTCAGAATCACCCATGCCTCCTTTCCCTGAGAGGGGGAGATGGATGCTGGGCTGGAGCAGGGTGAAGGGCTCTAGGCCCGACTGGTCGCAGCTTTGCCCTGTTCCTGCACAGCCCGCTTCTCAGCCCGCTTCTCAGCCCACATCACCCAGCCCTGTGCAGATGCTTAGTATGGAAATGAAGTCTTCCTTTCAGAGCCCATCATGTTTTCAATAAATATCGCTATTTGCAAGATGTGCTGTGGGCTCCACGGCTGCAACTCCAGATCATTGAAATTGCTGTAATGAAGGCAAAGCTGGAGGGAATGCATCCGGCAGCCACAGCCACCTCATCCAGTGCAGATCATGCTAGCAGTTAAAGGTCTCTCCCTGCTGAAAGCTGCTTGCTAAATGTCACAGTTTACACCTAGCTCAACTCCTTCTGGTCTGCCATGTTCCGGATCCCAGTAGTATCTGAGACCTAATTTGACATTCTTCCCTCCACGGGATGTTTCCTGATAATCACTGGGAATGGGAATAATGGAATTGTTGGAAATGGGAGTTATTTCCTAAACAAACAACAAGGACACTACTTCTAATATATCCCAGGGCTCTGGTGGGGGTTATGGGACAGATTATCAGCATTCACAATAGACCTGGAAAACCCAAGATAGATATCCTCAAACCCAGAGAGATATCAGTGTTCAATCTACTTTCAAGAAAATTGTGAACCTTCTTGGATTTTCAAGGTCTCAGATTCTAAGAAATGAGACTTAAACTGATCCAGTGAAGCATTATTTCTAAGTCAGTACTGTTATCTGGTGTTGTTTACTGGGTGAGGACAGGACAGGACAGGACATCTGAGATGACTTGCTATCTGAGAGTTGTACTGATTGTCTTCCTCCAAAACTCTTGGGTATCCTCCGATCATCAAGCAGAACTCCAGGTGACGTATAGCACCACACTGGGGCAGCCTTTGAGAGGAAGAAAGGGGGTCTGAGAGCCCTCCTGGATTTTGAAGGGTCACACTACTGACCGTGGAGCAGAGCAACACCCAGAATTCTAGGTGTGGGCGCCACCGGTTTGCCACTCATGGGCTTCTGCTCTGTCTCATGTCTCATTTTGGCGGGGGGCTAAGGGGTACTGGGAATCGAGCTCGGGGAACTAGACCACTGAGCCACATCTCCAGTCCTATTTTTGTTTTTCATTGAAAGACAGGGTCTCACTGAGTTGCTTAGTGCCTTGCTTTTGCTAAAACTGGCTTTGAACTGGTGATCCTCCTGCCTCAGCCTCCTGAGCTGCTGGGATGTCTCATGGATTTCTGAGGCAAGCTCTGAAATATAACAGGACACAGGAGGGCACTTGCCTTGGCATAAGAAGAATTTGGATTCTCCAACGCTGATTTCCCCTTGGCTGGGAACAATATCCACCTGCAGAGAAACTGAAAAAGACAAAGTCCAGTTTAGACAAACATTTGAAATTTTGAGAATTCAACTCAGAGCTTTCATTCAAAAACCAGGTTTAAGGAAGTGTGAAAGGTGGAGGTTGTGTGGATTTTGAGAACTTGTCACCACCAAAGTACCCTCACACCACAGCCAGTAGTGGACACAGCCCAGATCATTCACATCTGGAACTGCTATGTCCTATGAGATAATGCAAGGTTCCTTGGGAGACCTGGGGTGACCTCTGCCTAAATATTTTTGACCCTTGAGGAGGCTTATGGTCTACTCCAAATAGCAACACTCACATAAACAGCAGCCCAACCAATCCCTTTTTGATGTCAATCAGAAGTGTCCCCATAGCTGTGCCAAGAGCAGAAAGCTCACCACACCAGAACTATACCCAGGGGTTTCTTGCAAATTCCCCAGGCCACCATCTTTAATCACTGTGAAGAGAGGGTCAATGTGAAGATTCAAACTGGTTCTGAAGCAGGGGATGCAAACAGATGCCCATCTTAAGTCAAGAAACTAGGACCAATATGTCTATTTCTGTAACAGGAAACGACATCAAACATCATCTCCACAATTAGTCAGACACAATTCCGAAATTCTGTAGTCTATGCCCTGTGGAATTCCCTGTATCCCCTAACAGCTTTTCCCTGAATTTTTATTTGAATATCTGTATGTTCTGTCATTCTCCTGCTCTGATAAGAAAATACACTGCACCAGATCTTACTGATTCCTGTATTCAGTCTGCTCCTCATTTATCTGCTCAGAGCAGATAAATGTTCCTCATGAAAATACAGTTATAGGATAGGAGAAATGCTTTTTTTTTTTTTCTTTTTTCATTTGAATTCAACTTCCCTCTGCCTCTCCTCCTCCTAAGCAAATGTGAAAGCCAAAAGCTAACAGACATTTGGTTCAATGCATGGAGCTCCTCAAAGCCAATCCGAGGGAGGGGTCTGAGCAAAACAGGCTGGATCACAGAGACTCAGTGAGCCCTTCCTTCCAACAGCCATTTTCTGTTCACAGTCGAATGGAGGCAAGGCTCGTTGCCATGGCGACTGACTTGCAGGCAGGGCTGCTGTGGCTCTGGGTCTGCGCTCATTTGAAGAGACTACAGTTGTGCTCAGCAGAACACAGAGATCAAAGGGCCTGTTTGGGGTGGGAAGGGAGTGTGTGGGGGCAGCAGAGGATGTGTAGCCTTCCTAACCATCCCACTAACAAACAAAGCAGGTAACGAGAAAACACACCCAGAGCTGAAGCTGCAGAAAGAAAGGGATGATGTGGCAGAGCCAGGAACTGAAGAAGGGAAGGAGACAGGGAAATAATAGGAAATGGGGCGTGGCAAGAGGCAGGGAGAGGATGCTCAGGGCAAGTGGGGGGGTGCTCAGGCCCTTCTAAGTGCTCGACTGGAAAGAAATACTACAGCGATCTGGGGCCGGCTAGTCTCACCCTCATTCATTCTGTTACTGATGACCCAGTTGGGGATCAGGATTAAAATTCTTACTTGACAACAATGAAAGGTCTTCCCCCACTTTTCCTGACTGTAGCCCTGGTGCCAGGGTTGCCCTGGAACATAATGCTACCCAGAGCTGTAATGTCCGCAGGTGGAAGCAAGACTGGCCCTGGAGTGAGGTGCCACTAAGTCCTACAAGGGGAGATCCAGAAAGAGTCTCAGATATACTGTCCTGCCTCCTTACGTTCCAGATGAGAAAGAGAGATGAAGTGACTTCCCTACAGTCATTTCTAGTCAGGACTGAAGTACCCTAGAGCCCAGGCCTCCTGGCTCCCAGGTAAGGGTCCTGAGTATGCAGTGCTGCTTCTGGGCAAAGGGAGAGAGGTTTACATTCAGTGTAACAACCAATCTGGGATCCTGAGTAACAACCTTCGACTTCATTATACCTTAAGATGCAGAGCAAGACCAGCATTAATAAGGCCCTATGGTATTTGGGGGAGCCCAGGGCCTCAAAGAGAGGGCTGCAGAACAGTACCACTCATGCTAAGGCCAGCCAGGACCTCTTCTATTGCTTTCCATGGCTCACATTCCACAGGAACCATAGGCCTTAGGAAGCTCAGAAGCTGTGAATACCCCATCCCTCGCCTGAGTAATGGTCCTTTCTGGAGTTTAAAGGGGCATTCTTTAAAGAATTAGAGGCATATTTCTGCCTGGAACGATCCCTGGCCCATATGCTGAGCATTAACAGCCAGCTTCAACACATGGATCTTGTTACTGCAGTGGAGCCTCCCTGCTTTGAGAAGGATATTCTTATCCTGAGTGAAAAAGCAGACTTCAATTTCTTAAAGCTCTTTTCAAAAAGAACATGACTCTCCAGGGGCAGCCAAGCTGAAAAGTTTTCATACCCAAATGTGGCCAGGATCTATCTCTGGGCCACAGGGAGAAATGAGAATCAAGCATTTCAAAGGAATTCCCAGCTTAACGGGATCCCACTTACACATTTATCACCACAGAAGTTTGAAAAAGAAGAGGTCTTCCACTGACACTCCTGGGCTTTTGCACACATGGAAAAGAGTGATTCTTCCCTCAAAGCACCAGACAGGGCTGGACCAGAGGAGCCTCAGACGCTCTGCAAATCAATGCCTGGATGTTTTCGATTGTAGCACAATGGCTGATTATTCTTCTGCAAATGCTAAACCTTGAAATATTAGGTTTAATAATGAGAGATGGAAATCCTGATCTGAACTCAAAACTCCTTCCCTTCACTTCTTGCTTCTTCTTTTCACTTCTCTATGACAACTTTCATGGTTTTCAATTAAAAAAAAAAAAAAGCCTATCTCAAGTTTCACCTTTCTTTGTTGTACATGGAAGTGAAATTTCCTAACCAGGCATAATACATGTCTTTAAAGAAACTATGAAAACATTTCTTCCAAACAGACTATCTCATCTCTTGCTTTCCATTAACATGGTCTGTGTATAATGTCATCTTAGCTGTATCCAAAGATCCTGGGTCGTCTCAGGTCAGATCTGGCATTACCCAGTGTTATGATTTAGATGTGAGGTGTCCCCTAAAAGCTCATGTGTGAGACAATGTAAGAAGGTTTAGAGGAGAAAATCAGGTTATGAAAGTCTTAATTCAATCAATAAGTCAATGCCTTTGATTGGATTAACTGGGTAGGAGCAGAGGGTGGGTAGGGGGTGGCTGGAGGAGGTGGGTCATTTGGGACATGTCTTTGAGATACATATTTTGGATCTGGCAAGTGGAGACCGACCTACCTACCTCTCTCTCTCTCTCTCTCTCTCTCCTTCTTGATCACCATCTGAGCTGCTTCCCTCTGCCACACTCTTCTGCCATGATTTCAGTCTCATCTTGAGCCCTGAGGAATGGAGCCAGCCTTCTATAGACTGAAACCTCTGAAACCTTGAGCCCCCAAATAATCTTTTCCTCCTCTACAATTATTCTGGTTGGGTCTTCTAGTCACAGCAGTGGAAAAAGCTGACTAAAACACCCAGCTGTGACCACATCACCCAGTTTGTGCTTAGCCCCCAAGCTCACCTGCAGCAGCATATACTCTCGGGTGTACAAGACACTCTTTTTATTGCATCTGATCTCACAACAGTTCTTAGAGATAAAAAGACTGATAGAACAGTGTTTCTTTTACAAAAGAGGAAGTCAAGGCTCAGGAAAATGAACATAACTTGCAGAAGGTTCCTCAGCTAATATACTACACAGACAAGAGTGAAAATCTATTCTAATGCTCCAGCCCATCCCCCATGCTCTCCAACTACTACCAGTGTTGGATTTTTGCAGCTTCTGAATGGGTTTATTATAACCTGTTAGTTGTCATTTGTTCTCTTTCCAAATCATGGGCTATGAAGAGTAGAGTCTTTGTACAAAAATCTTATAACCAAATTCCTATCATCATTTCTCTCCTGATAAACTGTAACTACCTCTTTATTCAAAGATAGTGAGAGCCCTATAACTCCATTTTACAGGTGGGGAAGTGGAGGCTCAATGCCTATGTAATGATCAAATTCAAACTCAGGTTGAACAGAGTAAAAAGCCCCAGGCACTTCTTCCACACTATTCTAAATCCTTAGGAACACACAGAAAAAAAAAGGTATGTCTTAGGAGAACTTAACGATTTCCCTCTCCTCATCTCACTTAAAAAAAATAACCCTGTGGGAGACTGATAGCTTTTAAAATGGGTTTTCAGATTAAATGTCTTTTTTAAAATTGATAAATGTTCTGAAAGAAATGCTGTCTTTTTCAGCAAACAGCTTCAGGTGTAAGCAGAAGTTTTATAACTCCCGACTCCCTAGCAGAAGTAGGCTATAAAGTCTTAGTTGCTAAAGAAAAGTGAATTGAAATTTGAGTTCATAAAAGATGCCAAGGTGCTTATCAGGAGAGGTGGAATCTTGTTAAGGCAACAGAGAATTATTATTCTGATTTCAAAAAATAATTCATAGATTTCACTTAAACCTGCAACTTCTTGTAGCAGTTTAATTTTACTGGTTTTCTTTTCAGATTCTAATGTGCTTGAGGAGGTAGGAGCTGAGAGAAGAAAGTACACTGAGATCTTTCCCAGGCGGACTGGAAACACTTTCATGTTGAAGTTATAAAGACACTAGCCAGGAAGACACACTGCAGGTGCCCTGGGGGACCAGGGCCCAGGTTGGCACACCTGAAGAAGGTGTCCTGGTCACCAGTTTTAGAGATGGGTAAACCATCGAGCATGGGTTGGCTTAGTGACGATGCATGAGATGAAGGAAATTTCTAGAATCTAGGCTTTTTTAAAAAAAAGGGATCAAATTGTATATCAGCATACATAACCAGGTTAATGGAGCTGTGTGGCTTTATTTTTCAAAGTATAACTAAGTGCTGAGTTGCTTTAATTTGACTACACTGTAAGAAATCCAGATGTGTAGCCTGGGGGCACAAAGAACTAGATACCCCCACCGGCCTGTAATACTTTGCTTTTAAGATTAGCAAAGTATTTGGGGAAGAATAAAAGGCCCCTTCACTGCTAAGCCTACTGAACT